ATTTGCTTTGTAAGCCTGGAGCATTGGTGTTTTTTGCACCAAAAAGGCTTGTATTTACAGTCCCAGAGGAACACCCTGATTCAGATCTTGCTCTAATCTCTATCCTGGCTTTCCTTCCCTTTTTTGTTTTTTATCCCCAGTATATATGTTCTTTTCTTGGCTTGGTTGGATTTTGATGTCCCTGGATTTTAGACCTTGCTTTTGAAGTTCAACTCTTCCAGTCTATTCTTTGAACAGATGCCTCTTTGCTTTGGATTGAGGACATGACCAAGTATTTTGTCATTTGAAGTAGGCATTGCTTCTGTCCCTGCCCTTGGACTCCCCAATTATTCCTTATTCTTTACTGTGCTTAGCCACAAGCATGTGATATAATCTCTGGTGTCTTTGTTCATCCTCATGGTGACTATCTTCACCCAGTGATGTACTATATTTACAAGTTAGATCTAATTGCTGCTGGCTTTCCACCCCATCTTTGTCCTGTTCAAGCTGCGACCCTCTTCATGGACAAATTCTCTGATCTTCTTATGGGATCTGCCTAATCATATATGCTTCCCCATGATCACCTCCATTTGTCCTTGACTCCCCAAACAGCTGAGCAAATTGGAAATAGCATTCCTAAACTCTCCCATTCTTCCTCCCATAATCCCACCTTCCAGTTACATCCTCGACTGACAACAATTCATTTAGTGGCTCTACGAAGTTATAACAGCACTGAAAAAAGTTATTTACAATCTTTTTTCATACTTACGACTGGTCATATAATCAAAATTCGGACATTTGGCAACTGATATGTATTTATGATGGTTGCACTGTCTCAGGGTCAGGTGTTCACCTTTTGTGACCTTCTGACAAGCAAAGTCAGAAGCCAGATTCACTTAACAATTAATTTTTAAACCAGATTCACTTAACAATTAATTGTTAAGTGAACCTGGCTTAACAATTAATTGTTAAGTGTTAAGTGTTATTAATTTAATAACTGCAGTGATTTACTTAACTGTGGCAAGTAAAGTCATAAACTGTGGCAAACTCACTTAATAACTGTCTTGCTTAGCTATAGAAATTTTGGACTCAACTGTGGTCATAAATCGAGGATTACCTGTACTGATCTCCTGCTGAAAGTTTTTCCACTCATGATTGTTTTTTTTTATTGCTTATGAATTTCTTCCTCACCCTGATGTTCAGTAAAACCCCACTGCAAGTGCTGATTTTTAATTTTATACTTCTTGCCACACTCCCCCTGGGAAACAGGGTACTGGATATGTGGGCATGGATACATGGGTATGTACTCCTTTTGAATGTGTTAAATTCTTTGCTTCCCTTTGTTTCTGCTCAAGTTGGTGACTTACATGCTGTGACTTAAGTTTGTCTTTTAACCTCTAGTTCCTCTATTAATATTTATACAGATAGCTGTTATTGTTTTGAAACTATATCACTGTGGCCATCTTTGCCAAAACCATGGGTTTCTCACATCCTCTGGTTCTTTGATTCAGAATGCTGATTTGTTTCCATTTTACTTATGCCATTCTTCCCTCTGCTGCTGCAGATATTAGAATAAAAGGCCATTCTCAATGGCAATGAACTTGCTGATTCTTGTGTTAAATATACTGGTCTCCTGTGGTTTCTATACCGGGTACTTTCCTACCTCTTTTTTTATCTTTGCTCTCTGCTCAAAAACTGGACCCAGCCTGGAAGAACTAGATGCAAATGGCATATTTTCCTAGCCCTCACAGAACTCTTCAGGCTCTGGATGGTCTCCTGCTAGAATTCAGTGTTTCTCAACCTTGACAATTTTAAGGCATGTGGACTTCAACTCCCAGAATTCCACAGCCAGCATTGCTGGCTGTGGAATTCTGGGAGTTGAAGTCCACATGCCTTAAAATTGTCAAGGTTGAGAAACACTGTGCTAGATGATCCCTCACACTGGTATATCTCCCCATTCAAGCTTAAGCAGAAATACATTTTGTTAATGTAATGTAGTGGCATTGTTACAATACTGGCAAAAGATTTCAGTTTGATATGTGATTAATGGTGCTTATGAGTTAAAGAGTTCTAGGTTTAAAGAGTTCTAGCTTCTCTATAGGAAGATATGCAACTATCCCAGAAAGTATAGGAGGAACTGGTATCCATGATGCCTTTGTTCATGAACTAAATTAATCAAGCAGCAATGTGTGATGTTATTTATTCATTCTTTAAGACACATGAATTTCTGTTAATATTCAGTGACAAAAAAAATCAGAAAATCCAAAAGGAAGTAGATACCTTTTCATAAAACTGTACTGTACCTTCAACATTTCTCCCTTGTAACCTTAGATAATCTTGAATTTATTACTTAAGGAATGATTGAAATACTTTGCTTAAAATTGTATTACTTAGTCTTTATTCCAGGTCCATTAAGAATATAAAATCTTCAGTTGTGCTTGTTAATGAGCAATTGTTTGATTGTTGTCAGTTATTTAGGGAATTCATATTATTTATTGAAGACCAGTCAAATTTGATGGACAAAGCTAGAGACGTTAGAATTTGTATCTTTTCCCCAGCTGCAGCTAAGAATTTTTTTTATGTTTGAAAGGACTTCTTTTGCTTTCACCTCTGTAATTTCATCATAAGTAAATATTTTCTTCTTAGCAGATATATCAAAGCACGGATGTTAGAGACAATAGCCAAATACCAGATATTCTTGATAAAACCATGACTATTGTGATCTCCCTAGTCAGTTCTTGTTTTTTATTCTTGTGGCCCAAATTGAGGCCAAAGAAGCCACAAGATGAAGCAAGACAGTCCTTCAGTATTGCTGAAAGCTCTGGGTTGCAAAAATGACTAGAGTTTGGGGTTTTTGCATCTCTTTTGCTGTTGTCTGGTGGCTATTTGGAGTTTACATGCAGATCTGTATCCATTATACCAAAGATTTATTTTTGAAGTTACCTACGCATCACCTAATTTGGTTAGGTCTATGAGGGTTACTTTGCATTTTTTGTTATACATTCTAGTAAGGATCATTTGGAGTGTGTACCAGTGTATTATCACATGGAGTTATGGTGTAGCTTAAAATGTTATTTTCAAATCTAAATAAAAATAGTGCAATATCCCTTACCTTGACGTGTGATTAGTCAGGACAGATTTTCTCTTCCTATAGTACGAGTGCATCTGCTTGCTACTAAGAGGTAAGGAAGTATATAAGCAGGTCATTGATAAAATACCTTAATGTTCTATCAACCTCTTATTCTACGCTATTTTACCGAGAAATAGATTGAATTTATTTAAGTTGTGGTCTTTCCCAATGCTTGATAGATCTGCAACCAATACAATACAAGGATTTGCAACTACTGTATATTTTATGCTAGTGATGCTTTTTATGGAAAACCTAGGTAATGATATCATTAAAATTGCTAAGTTCTGACACCAGATTTGATGCAGCCAAAGTAGACGGTATAAGTAGACGGTATTACAAAGCTGTATAAGTAGACGGTATTACAAAGCTTGAGAAATCCCCAAGGTTTTCAGAAATATAAAATAGTATTGCTGGGGGAGGGAATGGAAAAAAATTGGATTGGTGCAAAGGTTTCAGAAACTGCCCAGTGAGAAATAGGTATGAGCAATGGTCAAGGCATGCTATTGGCATGGTTGATGCAAAGGAAGTAATAGAAATTTGGGAGGATTAGAATGGGCTTCTTCCATCCCTGGAATCTTGAAAAGAATGTTTCACATTGCAACGCTGGATTATAGTTGTCATTTCTTCTGTACTATTACCAGTGTTGAATGTGACTTCATATTATAAAATAGGAGGGGTATTATAAAATACACATGGGAAGAATTTAAGAGAATTTAAGTGCATTAGTGGGAAAATTACACTTATCTCCCTACATCAGTGTTTCTCAACCTTGACAATTTTAAGGCATGTGGACTTCAACTCCCAGAATTCCACAGCCAGCAATGCTGGCTGTGGAATTCTGGGAGTTGAAGTCCACATGCCTTAAAATTGTCAAGGTTGAGAAACACTGCCCTACATAGATTGTTATCCTACCTTCATTTTTCCAGGCACTTGTTGAGACCTGGGCTTTCTGAGAGAGAGGGCAATTTGGAAGACATATGTAGGGAGATATGGCACAGGACAGGGAAAGATTAAGTGCCACTCACTCATCTTCAAGCTTTCTTTTTTTAAAAAAAAAACAACATCATTCCTTAGCAACCTTTGCAAAAGTAGTTTGCCATTGCCTTATTCCTAAGCTGAGAATCACCCATCTCGTTTTCATGCTTAAACAGAAGTTCTAGACAGGACTAGAATTCACAGTCAACAGATTTCCAACTGAGCACTATTAATCACTTATATCAGTGTTTCTCAGCCTTAAGAACAGTAAGTTGTCTGAACTTTAATATCCAGAATTCCTCAGTCAGCAATTCTGGGAGTTGAAATCCATCCATCTTAAAGTTGCCAAGGTTGAGAAACACTCCACTACATCAAACTGGTTCTTGAATATAGTCTTAAACAATCTTAAATATTCATATTTCAATCTATTGTTTCCCCTTTTGTCACATCTTTGGTCATATCATACCTTTGGTTTGATCTAGTATGCCTTCTTAGTGCTGATGTTTCTCAGCCAAACCACAGTATAGAAGCCACAGTATGTGAAATGCTCTCTTGGGAGACTTTATATTTGGAAAAATGTTGGACAAACTAAATCTGTAGTCAATCATATTTTTATGCATAAAATATTCTAGCAACTAAAATGAGAATTGTGTACAGATAAAATACCTGAATTTGCATACACAACCAGAAATTTAACAATGCCTGTAAAGTTGGTAGGACAACATCGCCTTTTGCAATTATTCTTGTCCTATAGTTATCCTCATATATTTAAAAAAGGAAGAAAGGTGAATACATCAACAATTGTGAATTCATGTTTCAACTAAACATGACACAAGCCAATTATGTGTGTGTGCGTGTGTGTACTGTTATGTTGTGCTATTTTTTAAAATATGGGTTTCCTTTGTCTTATTTTCAGAGTTGGTTAAAAAGCTATGGTTATCTGCTTCCATCTGATACAAGAATGTCTGCTCTGCTCTCAGGAAAAGTTATGCAGTCCGCAGTCACCACTATGCAGCAGTTTTACGGCATCCCTGTAACAGGAGTGTTGGATCAGACCACTATTGAGTAAGAATGATTTTTGCAGATACTTGAAATTAATGTTCTTGCCCAGACCATTATCTATAGCCTCATGAAACTTTAAAATGTGAGCCTGATAAATTTGCTTGGCATATGCTTATACTCTAAGAATGAATATGATCTGAAAACTGAGTCAGATTGCCAACCATATCTCTTCCATCACTTAGATCAACATTCTCAATCTTGGCAGTTTTAAGATGAGTGGGCTTCAATTCCCAGAATTCTCAGCATAGGCAGATGTAATTAACTTCACATCCCAAAGAATTCATCCAGGGATTTCTGTTGATTTTACAATTGGTTTAGCAGATACTGCATAGGTCCTCAGATAAAATGGGGATAGAAATATACACTGTATGTCAGCGGTTCTCAACCTTTTTATATGGCGACCCCCGGTCACACGGACGCGCTGCGCATATGTGGCGGCGCCCCATGCGCGGCGCGCATGCGCGATGGCGCCCCTGAGGGGGAAAAATGGCAGATCGCGTTGCTCGGCGACCCCCATAAAATGGTCGTTTGACCCCAAATGGGGTCGCGACCCATAGGTTGAGAACCGCTGCTGTATGTAATGGCGCTAGGTTTTAAATGTTATTGTATATGTGTGCAGGTATTATGGCCTTATACTATAGTCATTCTATATAAAAGTAGTCCTTGATTAATGATCTTAATTGGGACCAGCAACTTCATCACTAAGTGAAGCAGTCATTAAGCAAAACATCACACAACAGCCCAGTTTAGCAGCAGCAGTTCTGACAATCCTAGTTGTGGTGGTTAAGTAAGATGTCATATACAACATGCAACCTCCTGCTGGCTTCCTCCATTGACTTGCTTATCTGAAGCCAGCTGGGAAGGTCACAAATAGTGATCATATGACTGCAGGATGCTGCAACTCTTGTAAATGCATGACAGTTGCTGAATGTCTGAATTGAGATCACCTGACTGCAGGGACGTTGTGACTGTCAAAAGCACCATCATAACTCTGGGAGTCATGAAACAAATGGTCATTAAGCAAGGATTTTCTGTACACAGAAGTACTATCTGCGTGGAACCTGGTTTGCATAAATCCCACAAGTATCTTTTTTTCATTTCCAGCTTCCAGTATATAGTACAGAAGTAATTTTGTGATTCCTTAATGAATTGATGGTCTCAGCACAATGAATATATCTGTCAACATCCAGCTCAAGAATCCTTATAAAACTCCAGGTTTATTCCGTTTCCGAAAGTCTTACTGTTTATTGAATACACTGCATGGTAATGTCGAAGCAAAACTTAACTCTGAGGTTCCAACATCAAATCATAAACTTAATAATTTTCCCAGCCAAACCTCCAACGTCTTACATAGTCCATATAAACAAGTTGACTTTGTTATAGGAACCGTCTGCTTCAAATCCATACCTGTTATGGTGTCCTTGAAAAGGTTTCAGGCCCTCATGGTGTTCAGCAGAATCGTAGACGTTTCGTTTCTCCATCTAACCCACTTGAAAGCAACACCTTCCCCCTTACTCTAAAGGCAAGTTGAAATGCAGAGCCACATAGCTGCCAAAGTTTCATCCTTGACAATATCAGATAATGCTTTTACTGTGCAGTCACACAATCTAAAAATTTTTAGGGGACTCAGATTCCATTACCTTCTATTGCAGCCTTTCTGTTTTCTCCATAGTTTCATCCACTGAAAATCCATTATGGAGCAAAATAACTCATTATGGACTGGTTACTAATCCATCTGAAAGTATTCTAACATTATAAAATGTAATACAGATAGTCCTTGACTTACAACTGCAATTGAATCCAAAATTTCTGTTGCTAAGTGAAAAATTTGTTAAGTTAGTTTTGCCCCATTTTATGACCTTTCTTGCCATAGTTGTTAGGTGAATAACTGCAGTTGTTAAGTTAGCAACACAGTTGTTCAGTGAATCTGGCTTCCCCATTGACTTTGCTTATCAGAAGGTTGCAGAAGGTGACCCTGGGATATAGCATCTGTCACAAATATGAGTCAGTTGCCAAGTATCTAAATTTTGATCACTTGACCATGGGGATGCTGCAATAGTCATAAGTGTGAAGAATGGTCATAAGTCACTTTTTCAATGCTATTGTAACTGAATGGTTTTACTGAACTGCCTGTAATTATATACAGTGAAACAGAGCTCTCTACTCCCATACATGGTTGAAGTTCCAGAGATGGAATTTTTCACCTTCTTTCTGGAGGAAGAAATTTTGACATAGCTGATACCTTGTAGTCTGCTCTAAACTAACTAGCTCCAAAGTTCAAACTTACTTCTCTAACCTATGTCAAAATTGCCTTTTTAATCTCTTTTGGTACACTTTCACTAGACTGGCCAGAACTTTAGTCTACCTTGACCAACAGATAGGCCATCAAGCTTGTCCAAATTGATTGGCAATCTATTTTCAACTCTGCTAGATACATCAACAAAAGAGGCTGAAATGGCTCAAAGCCCTATTTTTGTACCATATATTCCTGACTCATCAGGAATCTTTTTACTTTCTAGGTGGATGAAAAAACCTCGCTGTGGTGTTCCTGATCATCCCCATCTAAGCCATAGACGAAGGATTAAGCGATATGCACTTACTGGACAAAAATGGAGGCAGAAGCATATTACCTACAGGTATAACCCAACATGTTAACAATTTAGTGGAGTTTATACTTTAAATATTATGCAATGCCACCAGCCTTGGCACTGATTCATATTCCTTGCTCAAGAGGAAACTTAACAGGGAATTCTAGGTGGTATAGTCCCAATACATCTGGAAACTTAAACATTTTTGAGTATAATTTTTTTATAGTATGTGAACTTGTTTATGGATGTAAAACTTCAGTTCAGTGACATAGTCTTTTCAGTGCATTTTTAAAATAATAATAATAATGATGATGATGATGATGATGATGATGTTGGAAGTCATCTAGTCCAACCCCCTGCTCAGGCAGGAAACCCTATACCAGTGATGGCGAACCTTTTAGAGACCGAGTGCCCAAACTGCAATCCAAAACCCACTTATGCATCGTCGGGTGCCGGATGGGTGTGGCCCACTGGCTGGGTGTGGCCCATTGGGTGGGCGTGGCTGCAGTGGTAACGGCAGACTGGGTGGGACTGTGCCATAGGTTCGCCACCACTGAACTATAGTATTATTTGTGTTATATATGGTATATATGCAACCCAAACCCACTTACGCATCGTCGGGTGCTGGGTGGGTGTGGCCCATTGGGTGGGCATGGCTGTGGTGGTAACAGCAGACTAAGTGGGACTAAAAAGTTCAATCAATCAATTCCAACTTTGCAAGATCTTTTTTTCCCCACGAGATGTTGAAATTGACTGATTGATTGAACTCTTTTTTTTTTTTTTTGCACACAACGGCAGAGGCCTAAAGCGAAAAGGTTTTATAAAACCCAGCTGAAGGCCTAGGACTGGGGCAACAGTGTGCATACCCACAGAGAGCGCTCTGAGTGCTGCCTCTGGCACCCGTGCCATAGGTTCGCCACCACTGCCCTATACCATTTCAGACAAATAGCTGTCCAGTCTCTTCTTAAAAACTTCCAGTGTTGGAGCATTCACCGCTTCTGGAGACAGGTTATTCCACTGGTTATTTGTTCTGTCAGGAAGTTTCTCCTTAGTTCTAGGTTGCTTCTCTCCTTGATTAGTTTCCATCCATAAAAAGCTTTAGCTTTTTATATTTAGCTTTCATTAAAAGCAAGTTTTGGATATTCTTCTACATAGGAGTTAGTAGTGTTTCTTGGAATCTTTTTTAGGATTACAATTAAAATCAATATATTAAATATTAATTAAATATTAAGAAAAAAGAGTATAAAATAATGTATATTCATGTAGATCACATTTCATTTGCCTATTTTGTTATGTCTGTTTCATGGCTTTTGGAGTAATTAGTCAAGATGCTTGCTTGCTGTACGAGGGAGAGCGAAAATATCAGTTAAATACTATGATGGTTGAATTTATGCCCTGAATGTTTATTTAGACCATGTGAATTCAATGCAAATAATTGTTCCTTCTCTCATATAATTATAATTTGAGACAGGCAACTACCCAACTAATTTCCCAGTTGCCACTGAATGATTGCATCTTTTTCTCTTTCCTGATCTTGATCAAAGTGTGTTGAATAAAATGTATTCATTTTTTTAGCTTAAAAATGTATGTATTGAGTACAATACAACTATTCCAAATGCAAATCAACTATATTGATAGTGTTTTATCTCAAAACAGTAGAAAACTAAAATTTAAATGTGGCATTTTTGAACCCAGGATGGCTCAATACTTGAATTTGTTTGTTTGTTTCCCACCTTTATTATTTTCCTAAATAATCAAGATAGCAAACATACCTAATACTCCTTCTTTCTCCTATTTTTTCCTCAATAACAATCCTATGAGTTGGGTTGGACTAAGAGAGAGTTGCTGGCCCAAAGTCATCCAGTCAACTTTCATACCTAAGGAACTCGGTTTCCTTCTTTCTAGATGGATTCTATAACCACTAGATCAGTGTTTCTCAACCTTGACCATTTTAAGGCATGTGGACTTCAACTCCCAGAATTCCACAGCCAGCATTGCTGGCTGTGGAATTCTGGGAGTTGAAGTCCACATGCCTTAAAATGGTCAAGGTTGAGAAACACTGCACTAGATGAAACTGACTCTTAAAAGAATTAAGGTTAATTGTTAAAAGTCAGATTAGATATTTTAAATTTTAAAAACTTATTAGGATTAGAAATGAAGATGTAAAGAATAAAAGACAGAAATACAATTAGAAAAAAATCTTTTCTTTAACACCTGAATCAGACCATGTTTTGACCACTTATTTGGGAGGAGGATGGATCACCCATTATACTATATTTAACAGATTAGGAGAAACTGTTGACCTTTAAAATTCTACATGATGTAGTTCTAAGTATTTGAAAGACTGTAGTGACATATGTCCCTGTGTTTTTTTAAAATCTTGATGATCAATATGTGTGTGTGTGTGTGAGGGGGGGGGAAGAGAATTTTAAGGGTTCTCTTCTGAGCAACTTTTAACTGGTTCTGTTGGTTCAAAATTGTTTTATTTTATCTACATTTTATTTTATCTACAAGGTAAAAGCTGTTACAGAATGCATTGATCTTTTTGCTTTTTTTGGTCAAAGATTCTATGTTGTTATTCATTTAGTTAACTAGCTTGCTGTATTTAAATTAGCTGATTATACATTTTAATTGAATTTGCGTGATTCCTATGTTAAGTTGATTTTATTTTATTTTTATTTATTTTATGAGACTTATATACCGCTTTAAGTGCAAGCACTCTCTAAGCGGTGTACACCAGTAAGCAATGTATATAAGCCCCCAACAATCTGGGTCCTCATTTTACCTACCTCGGAAGGATGGAAGGCTGAGTCAACGTTGAGCCGGTGAGATTTGAACCGTGGACCTGCTGAACACAGTCAGCTAAAGTGGCCTGCAGTACTGCACTCTAACTGCTGCGCCACCTCGGCTCTTTGAGAATAGTAGTCTTGAAAATATTTTAAATCAAAGAAAAATAAATTTTCTTCACAATGGTTTTCAACATGGGTTTTGTGAGATTTTGCAAGTTGCATAAAAGGTAGAATATACTTATATAGGGAATAATGATACAGATCTTTATAGCTTACTTAATATAAGGTTTTTTTTAAAGCTGTTTGATGTTAGAAATAAAAGTGAGTAAGCTAGATGTATATTCAGTCATCTATTACTTTTGTAATATATCATCATATGTGCTGTTGTCATAATTAGTAAAAGCTTGAAGATCAGGTTTGATCAACTGATTTTGTCACAATGTGACTCTTCCTTTTCTTTTTAAAGTTCTTTAATCTTTTATTTTGCTGTCTTTGATTTAGAGTCTGACATGTTATTCTTTCTAAATATAACTCAAAGATAGCTATTTTCTCTTAATTTATTCCAGATTTGCAAGATAGAACTAATTACAGTACCAAGTCTTCTTCAGGCAAAATGTTACACGACTGTCATCTAAATCAGGGGTGAGCAACTATGGTCCCTTTATGACAGTGGTTCTCAACCTGTGGGTCAGGACCCCATTTGGGGTCGAACGACCATTTCACGGGGGTCGCCAAACAACGCAGTCCGCCATTTTTTTCCCAGAGTCTAATTCTATTGGCTTTCAAAAGCCAATAGGAATTGTCCAGGCTGTCTCTGCCCTGCTGAGCCCAGCAAAAGTCCCATTCTGCAAACGGTGCTGCACCAGTTGAGTAGTCCTCGACTTACGACCGGTTGAGTAGTCCTCGACTTACGACCGGTTGGGGATCGCGGCATTAAAAAGGTTGAGAACCACTGCTTTATGACCTATGGACTTCAACTCCCAGAATTCCTGAACCAGCATGGTTGGCTCAGGAATTCTGGGAGTTGAAGTCCACAGGTTGTAAGAGGCCATAGTTGCCCACCCCGATCTAAATCAATGTTCCTCAACCTCAGTATTCTGGCTGGGGAATTCTGGGATTTGAACTTCACACATCTTAAAATTGCTGAGGTTGACAAACACCAGTCTAGGCAAGAGAGAGCCATTACATAAACATATTATAACCACTTGCCTTCGAGGGGCCTCACCACCGCTGTTCATTCAGGAGAAGAGAGGGAGAAAAGTATTGAGTTAAACCCTTGAGAAAATATATAGAAATCCCAAACATCTTTGCACCGCAGTGCACAATTAGTTATTGTGAGGGTGGCATCACTCTTGCCTGCAATAAAGATTCAGATGTAGTCAAGCAGCGTCCACTAAGGGGAAGAGGGGGGGAGAGACCAGTGATTTGCTCTCAATTCCAGGAGTGAAAGCTGTCCATCCTATTAATGTTCAAATTTAGGACTGGTTGGATATTTAGAAAATACAAGGTGAAATTTTTCTTTCTGCATAGTTAAAGTTGACAATTTAGGCAGTTTTAAAAGTGTTTAGAAAAACAGTACAGAGTACTGTTGTTCAGTTCATAACTCAATGGACATAATCTCACCATGTTTGTTTGTTATTAATTGATCTTTTTTGGACCTTTTATCAGTATCAGTGTTATCAGTACCTAGCCACTTTGTCTTTTGTCAGCCTCTTTTCCGATTGTTTTAAAATATCGGGTTTCTCCAGTCTTTACATTAAGTGTCCAAAATATTTAAGTTATAGCTTCATAGTTAGGTCTTCCACTGAAGGATCTGTGGTTACATCTGCTGTAACTGAACCTTTTGTTGTAGATCCAACAATATCTTGTTGGTCCAAGATATTCTCTAGCAGTACATTTCAAAGGCATCCTTTTGATTTATCAACTTTTCTGACAATTCAGCTTTCACTGTCATTTTAATAATTAAGAAAAACATAGGTTTGATAACATATACTTTGGTTGTCATTGGGTTCTATTTTCATTTGAATATTTTGTCTAGGCTTATTGTAGCCTTCTCCCAAGTAGCAGGTGTATTGCTTCTTTCACCATCCCTGTAAAATGTTGAGCCTAGGAAGATAAAATTTGTTACAGTTTTAACTACTGCTAATAGTTTTCCTCCTCACCTTCCTTTTTCTACTTGCATTGAATTGACATTGATTAGTGACATAATTTAGGCTTTTGCACTGTCTTCTTTCACCTTCACCAAGAGATTTCTTAAGCCTTCCTCATGTCTACTAGCAAAGTGACATCAGTATATTTGAGGCTGTTATTTCTCCTTGCAATATTAATGCTAAATTCCATTACTTCTAGTCCAGCATATGTTGTGCATATAACTTAATTAAACAAGATGACACTATAAAACTGTACCATTCCTTCCCCATTGTGAATAATTTACTTGCCTCATATTCTATTCTAACTGTTGCTTCCTGATTATCATGCAAATTATTCAATAGATCAATGGGATGGCTTGGTACATCCATATGTTTTAGGACTATCTATAATTATCCCCTTCATATAATCAATAAAGCAAAAATTAGCATCTTTTAAGATCTTCTTTCCTTTTCTGTTTTTCATCAGATGTTAGCAATATGGTCTTGGGTGCTCCTGCCTCTTTTAAATTAGGCTTATACATCTGGCAGTTCTTGTTGAAATATCAGTTTCAAAATCTCTATCCTTTCCTTACAGGCAAGGGAGAGAGCCATACCATGGTAGTTAAGCAGTTTGAGCTTCCTTTGACAGTTTTTTTTTTAAATATTGGAATAAAAATGGATGTCTTTCAGTTCTTTGGTACTGCTGTATTTTCTGTACAGTATTTGCTTACAAACCATGAAATACTTTAACTGTATCATCTTGTAAGATTTTAAACAGCTTTGCTACTTTGCTACATCAATTTCTGCAGCTTTGTTGTTAGTGATGTTTTTAAGGGCCCATTTAACTTCATTTTCCTGACTATCACTCTCTAGCTCAGACATGTCAAATCGCGATGTCATGTGATGTCACGCAATGTATCGGGCCGGTTTTGCCATTGCTGGCAATGGGGTGGATGCGGCTTCAGTATGATGAAACTGACCTGCGGGCCGGCAGTTTGACACCCCTGCTCTAGCTCAATGGTCATACTTTTTTTTGATTTAGGGATTTTTTTAATACAATTATTCTTTATATTTACACTATCTCTTCTTTCTTTTAGCCCTATTTATCTTATATTGTGCCTATTGTTGCATAAAGGTTTTTCTGTAATTTTCTTAGTAAATAGGAAATAGAATTCTTTATTGGCCAAGTCTGATTGGACATACAAGGAATTTGTCTCCGGTGCATAAACTAAATCTCTTGGTCTTTCCATTCCATTGTTATCCTCAATTTCCTTGCAATGCTTACAATATTTAGATACAGCTATTTGCTCTTCTCTTGAATATAATATTTAGTTGGGCAAATTTTCTTCTCTCTGTGTTGCCTTTGCTTTTTGCCTTTATTCAGTTATTTTCAGTGAATCAACAGACAGCTGGAAGATTCCCCTTCCAGTATCATATTGTCATTGTCCTGGTCGTAAATGTCTGTTTAGTTTTTTGGAAAGAATACTGGAGGATATTTGTCATTTTCTTATTCAAAAAATTGTTTTTACTCTGACCCTCCTGGGAATACACATTCCAGTGATAAAACTCATAGTATATTCATTGGGATGTGCATCTCCTTCAGCATTATAAGATAAATGCCAGACACAAGCAACCAGGATAGCTCCGAGGTTTAGGTCAAGAGATTTCTTTATTATTTACAAGAATCTCATCAGACTGTCTGCCTTCCCTTGGGAAAGCCTGAGATAGTCCTAAGTATTTGATTGCATATGCTCCCTCCCTTTATGGAGTCCAGGCTGGAATATCTCTTAACTCCCCCTACCAGAGCCTCCTTCTTTTCAGTCATTGGTTCCACCGCTGATAACAATCCATGTTGAAAAATGTAGGACAATAGCTATTTTGGAATTCTAATTTCAAAGACAGTTAAAGGCTTTAGTAAGACAGTGAAGGGATGGATCAGGTTAGTTTGATTTCTTTGGTTTACTATTGTATTTCTTTTTTTTTTATGTTTTCTACATAACACTCCAAAAGGAAGTATAGTAGTAAGGGTATGTATGTATGTACAGTATGCAAGTATGTCAAAAGCAGCATACTTCTCAATGCATACTCACTATTACTTGGAAACATGAATGAGGAGGTATTGTTGTTAAGAACTGTAGTTAGCCATATGGAAACTGAATGTTAGTCTGCTGTATAGGTTTCTGATCAAGCAGAACTGTTCTTAATGATGTTAAAACCCTTTGAAGACCTCTGTATGGTAACTCCATACAGAGTTGCCAATTCCTCCCTGGAATGTCCTTGCATGTAATCAATATGCATAATTTTATTTCCCTTTAACCCCAATATCTCTGGTGTGTTGTGAATATTTAGATCTATAAGAAAGATTTGTTGGCCAGTTGCTGAATAACTTAAATTTACAATTAAAGTACTGGGATTCTAAAATATCTATGCCTTGTACTTGGTTATCTAGAACAGGGCTTTTCAACCAGTGGTATGGATACCACCTGTGGTACATTGGCACCTGGCAGGTGGTACCCGACCATCCTAAAAAAGTGGTAGTGGGGGAGGGGAATGAACTGAACTGGTGGCAGCACTGCACAAACCTGAGTGAGAGATGGCTGGAGCTGCAAGGCTGTCAGGCCTCTGCGGAAGCACCAGGATCAGTGCTTCTTCGGAGCTGTCAGGGCTCAGTGGAAGCACCAGGATCAGTGCCAGGCTCCAGCTGGAGCTCGGCAATGATCCTGGCGCTTCTGCTGAGTCCAGAAGAAGCGCCGATCAGCTGGAATTTTGCAGCGTCTCCAGGGTCTTGTGATTTACATTCAGATGCTTGGCAACTGATTCATATTTATGACAGTCACAGTGTCCCAGGGTCATGTGAAGTGACCAAAACCTGGTGCAACCACCCAGCAGACAGGAGGAATAAAAACCAAACACCCCCCCCCACCCCACCTCCGCTCCAGTCCTCAACAGAAATGCTCACAACAATGAAAACTTCAGACAGGAGGAAGAGCACCGCCGGGCGGGCAGGCAGGTGTCTTGCTCGATTGTGGCTTGGGGGCACTTTTTTCAGTGCTATTGTAACTTCGAACAGTCATTAAGCGAACTATTGTAAGTCGAGGACTACCTGTACTTTATCAATTTTTCCCTTTTTTTTTTTTTTTTTTGGTCATCAAGTTTTTGACACCTTGCTAGGCAACTGGTGTTACTTGGATATTGCCCTATCCTAAAAGTGGTACAATGGGTGAAAAGGTTGAAAAGCCCTGATGTAGAAGATGTTATAGATACTCCAGTATGAATATGATTATCTAATGATAACAAATAATATAATAGCCTTCTCCATTTCCATATTATTCTCAGAATTTCAGATGTATCTTTTTGATACAATTAAGTATGGATAGATCACAGCCGAATAATTACTAGATAAAAGTTGACAAAACAGTTCTGTAATATATGTTTATAATATAATATTTTGTCTTCAATATCACATTTATGAATTTGAAATGGTTTGAATTAAAACCTTTTACACATTTCTACTTTTCTGTGACTCCTTGTATAAGTGCCATTTATTCTCTCCCCCCGCCTGATAAGAATGGACTAGTTAAGGGCCTGAATCAGTTATGTTTATCCATACAAGGAATCTAATATTACTTCCAGATTCTATAGTAAATATGTGGAAGATTGAGTGTTGTAGTAATTTTGTTGAGCAGCCTTGTATGTTCCAAAATTTTAGACTTGAATCCTTAGGCACCCTTCAACCGTACTGGTTTAATCCAGTGTTTTTCAAACCTAGCAACTTTAAGATGTATGGAGGTTAACTCCCAGAATTCCCCAGCCAGCAAGGGATTTGAAGTCCACATATCTTAAAGTTACTGAATAGAAATTCAGTACCATATTTCATATTGTTTTTAAATAAAAATATTTGGTAAGAAACAATATAAAAACTGTTAATTCATAACTTCATAACTGAAATACTTTCAAACAATATTAATTTATTGTTGCAATTGTACTAATTTATTGTTGCAATTGTACTAATCCAAAACTTGAATGAAAATTTCTCATGTAAAAAAGCAATCCTTTTATAAGTTTTAAATACGTTCTTCTTCTCCTTCATACAGTGTACACAACTACACCCCCAAGGTTGGAGAACTTGATACAAGGAAAGCCATCCGACAAGCATTTGATGTTTGGCAGAGAGTGACTCCACTTACCTTTGAAGAAGTTCCTTACCATGAAATAAAAAGTGACAGAAAAGAGGCAGATATCATGATATTTTTTGCTTCTGGTTTCCATGGTGATAGCTCTCCTTTTGATGGGGAGGGTGGATTTCTAGCTCATGCTTATTTTCCTGGACCAGGAATAGGAGGTGATACTCATTTTGACTCGGATGAGCCCTGGACACTGGGAAGTTCTAATCATGATGGTAAGAGGCTGTGTATATTAACAGTATAATGCTATACAGTAGAAGATGAATTTTAGAAGATATTCTTGATGAGGTTTCAGACTTTCACAAGGAAAGAAATACCCTCACTCTTATTATAATGGGATTTCCGATGAACACAATCCAAATGTTGGGAATGCTGATGAATAAAACCAGAAAGAGTCTTATTCGATTGCAGTTGGAAAGAAATATAACAAATAATTATATAGCATTCAGTCTTTCAGGCAAAGTGCTATATTCATAGATTGCTAAAAATGTACAAAAGCATGGTTTTATCCTCTAGAAACAAGAGCAAAGTGAACATGTAACTCCAACTGACATAAACTGACAAACGTAGGTTGTGATGATACTAAATGACCACTCTCTGTCTGTTCATGATCATTCAGAACAATTATTTATTTAGGAGAATTGGTAAAATAATTGTCCATTGAAATATATTACTTGTAATCATTAAACACTTAACCACGTAAGATGCTTTAATTGTTTTTTAAATTTCAGAGGCAAAACTATGTGATACTAAATTCATTACTGAAAACATGTTTATTATTTAGTCAGTGGAGTCAAGAACTGCAATTTTAATTCAATAGACTAATGAGTGGGTCCTCTTATTTTTTAAAAAGAATATTATATGTTTCAAATTCAATTATAAAAAATCCTTCCCATCAATATGGGTGGTCTGTGTCTTCCTTAATCTCGGGTCCTCTTCCCGAGGCCCGGGAGCGTGAAGGTTCTGTGCAGGATCTTTAGCTATTCTTGAGCCACTCTCCCAGCTTAGGAGTCACAATACTGAGTGTTCCTACCATTACTGGGACCACTTTGGCTTTTCCTTTCCACATCCTCTCCATTTCTCCTCCAGGCCCTTGTACTTCTCATGCTCCTTCTTCCCGATGTTGCTGTCATTTGGCACAGCTATATCTATCACCACTGCTGTCTTCTGGTCTTTGTCAACTAACACAATATCTGGTTGATTGGCCAGTACTTGTCTGCTTGTCTAGATCTGGAAATTGCACTGGATCTTAGCCCTCTTATTTTCCTCAACCTCCTGTAGGATCTCCAAGTTAGACTTAGGAGGGTGTAGCCCACATTCTGTACAAATGTTCTTGTACACAATGCCATCTATTTGATTGTTGTGCTGTTCGGTGTATAGTGTTCCTGCCTGTATCTTTCACCCTGCCACTATTTGTTGGACTGTCTCTGAGGCCTCTTTGCATAGTTTGACTGTGGGTTCTATCTTGTGTGGTAGATCCCTCTTCTATGGATCTGCTGCTTAGTGCCTGTTCTTGTGCTGCTATGATCAGTGCCCCAGTGCTGTCTTTTAGTCTAGCCCTTTCCAACCACTAGTAGAATTTCCCAATGTCTGCCACTTCGGCTATGTGTCAGTGGTACATTCCTAGCAGGATCTTGTCTTGCCAAGGCACTTCCTCTGCTTAACCTTTTCCCCACATCTGCTGCTTCCTCAGACATTCTCTCAGCAGCTCATCTTTGGGTGCCATCTTATTGATGGATACCCTGGGGTTCATTCATGACAGTGGCTTTGACACTCACCAGACCCCAGCTGTCCTCCTTCTGCCCAGTGTACAGTCTCTGGGTTTTGGACTTGGGTGGAAATCTCCGTACATTGTGAGGAGTTTCCAGGTTTTCACATCAGCAGCTTTCATGTCCTTTTTTGGCCAGCTCACTATACCAGCAGATTAGCTGATGAATGGCAGAGCATACATGTTGATGGCATGGATCTTGTTCTTCCAATTGAGCTGGCTGTTCTGTCTTATCCTTTGGTGGTAATTGGATGTTGCTGACTTCCTTGCCTCCTCATTGTGTTTCCTGTGGATACCAAGGTACTTATAATGATCTGTATGTCTGCTATGTGATCCACTGGTTATTCTGTACAGGAATACATACCTTACTTGCTTGTCATTTTATTGGGATTTTCTCTGGGAAGTAGTATTAGAGTCTTCCCCATCCCTTGGAGAGTAAGCATATGCAATCTCTACAAATGTTCATGATTCAGAAGTCACTAAGGAAAAAAAAATACTTAGTGGTAGATGTTCCAAGAAAGCTAATCCCACATGTCCATTATGCATGGTATGATCAACAAGGAAAATAGTGTCCATTTGGATCTGAAAGTTCGATATCAACCTCCTCCACCAAATCTAATTTGGAGAAGCAGTACCTATAGTTCTGCCTTTCCAGAAATGCTGGGCTATAAATATAGCTAATTTTTTTAACAATGCTTTTGTGTAAAGTGTTCTCTAATTGCGCTGATTATTTTGGAAATACAGATCCTTTATATCCCTAGTATAAGATTCATTTCTATAATACCACAGTATGAAGTCAGCCACCCTCTGAGACTGTTACATAGCATTGGTGAAAAATAATTGGACTTACAATGTTCAGCTGTGCTGAGAGTGCTAGAGCAAAATAGATTCTTGATTGTTTCTGGGATTTAAAAATTATTTTAATAAGTCTCTTAGTTTCTTAATTTCTAAGAACCATATTTGTATTTCTGGTTTCATTTTACATATTTTCCTTTTTGCGTGTTAACTTTTATTTTGTATATTGAGGTTGTCTTGCTCTTTTATAGATGAAGAAAGTATAGAATAATAATAATGGGTGGGCATGGAATGTTGCAAGTACATTAGATGGATGATGAAGAAAAAAGATATTGAAATAATAACTGAAGGACAGTGAAGAAGATGCACTGAAGCTTACTGAGTACTGGAAAGAACAAACTGGCTCACAAGAAAGATCAAATGAAGAACAGAAAACAGACATGGCAAGACAAGGTTTGACATGGTCAGCACATTAAAAAAATAGCAGGCAAAGCAGATAATAAGACGTAGCAATGGCTAAGGGCAGAAAAGTTGAAGAAAGAAACAGATGAGCCAATGTTGGCTGCACAAGACCAAGACTTAAGAAAGACACAAAGCCAGAATCAAAAAGACAGAAACCGACAGCAATTGCCACCTCTGCAAAGAAGCTGAAGAAACAGTAGACCGCCTGGTTAGCTGCTACAAGAAGATCATGCAGATTGGCTACAAACAACAGCAGGACAAAGTAGCAACGATGATATATTGGGAGATCTGCAAGAAATACCATTTGCCTGCAAGCAAGAACTGGTGAGACCACAAAAGAGACAAAGTAATAGAAAACGAGAATTCAAATAGACAGGCACCTGCCACATAATACCCCAGACTTAACAACTGTCAATAAGAAAGACAAAAAAAGTCGGGATAGTGGATGCGGCAATACCTAGAGACAGCAGACCAGAAGAGAAAGAACTGGAGAAGATAACAAAATACAAAGATTTGCATTCATTCAGCAACCATTTGAAATTATGACAGCGTTGAAAAAGACCATCACAGAATCCCCTCCCCAGTCACCTGATCTGGTGCTTGGCAATTGACTGTTACCCTAGTTCCAGCATCCTGCAGTCACATGATTGTCAATAGGGAGGTTGGCAGGAAAGGCCATAAATCACTCCAGTTAGTTGCTTGCACTCTCCCTTGCTGGAAACACTCACCCCCGCCCCCACCACACTGATGCTGCTCCTAGCTGGCCACTTCTGCACCCTCCCCCACCTGGCAATAGCCACCCCTGGCCCTGCTGCACTTGAGCCAGCTGTCACTCCTTACCTGCCTGCCATCCTGCTTGCAAACTGCCTGGAGTTTGCTTAATCACCCATGATCCTCACTTAACACTGGCAAAGGGAGGTGCTGGAATTGCTGTTGCTAAGTAATATGGTCGTGCCACATTTTATAACTGCATTGCATACAGTGGAAATTTTGATCCCAATTACTGTCATTAACTCTGGACTACATGTAAAGTGCTGCCTGAATCTATATGTCAAGTACACAAACAACTTTCTGCCCTAAATAACTTTGCAGAGCAAGTCCTTTCAGAGTTCTTTTTTTTAAATTAATAATGTAAACGGGTGGGTGCCCTTTTCTTTGAAAATTTTGTTGTGTGCTTTGATCATTGATATACAGGTGCTTTGATCTCTGCTTTGATCTTTAATATACAGACTCTTATTTGGTGTAGACATTTTGCAAGGGAAAAGAATAGATCAGTCAAGATGCTTTAGATTTCTTCATTGATATGTAATATTGGATTTCAAAATGCCCTGCAATCATACTGGGAGATTATACAATTCATTAGTTCATTAGACAATTGAGACCGCAGAAAGACTCTTACAAAATCAGATGCTTTTACGTGTTTCTATCCAGATGAATATTTTTATTGTTTGTGGAATCTTTGTGGATCTATCCAAAACATTATTTCATTGAGCAGGAGCTAGGCAGAATTTTCTGATGGATAGCATTTGGAAAGTTACATTTGAAAGCCCTGCTATAGAGGCAAAGGACTATTTTGTTAGGTCTAGGGACACAGAAAAATGGATCCGTTTGGTCCATTACATTTCCTATGCGTTGAGTTAATGATGTGAAGAAGCCTATTAAAAATTCAGTAAATTAAATGGCTGTCAGGGACTGCCAACATTGTAAATGACTGCCAGGGGTGGCTAGATGCCCCTTTTCCTGAACTATATTGAACTAGGAGTTTATGCTTATATATACTTCAGTGGTTCTGCATTCCTAAATCTAAGCAAGTGTAGATTTATAGGTTGCTTTGAAATAAAAACAGGTATATTAGCATTGCTTCTTTTGAACACCCCATTTGAGCATTTATCTTTTAGCTTTTTTATTTACACTTAATATTTTCCTTTTCTAGTGCATAAGTTAATTGCATGTGCACGTTAAAAACATGCATGTGTTATACAGGTAAATGTTTATTATCCTATTAAGTAAGTAGTTGTTTATCATTTATTCTAAATAAATCCCGTCTCATGTTTCCTTCATATTTGTGGTATTTCAATATGCTGCACCTAGACTACGATCATCTAACTCCTGTTTTTAACATATACACCTGAAATACATTATACGAAGAATTTATAGCTAACTATATATTTATTATGATAGCAAAAGTTAATATAGCTAAATAACAAAAAAAGGTTATAGGCAGATTAGAATGGTTTATATTGATTTTATATCATTATAGTTTTGGTATTATTCCTATTCATACCAGGGGATTGATTGTATAGCCTGTTATTTTTTTTTCTTCATTTTTAAATTTTAACAGTTTGATCTCACCTATTGATTTATCATATGCTAAAACATTCCCAGATACAAGTTTTGAATTAGCAAAATATATGCAGAATTCCCCCCCCCCTTTTTTGTCAAATGGTATTTCCTGTTGTGTTTTGTCTGCCTGTCACTATAAAACCTAACGCCCTAGCTGTCCCTGCAGTTAGCTGGATAGAGTTGAGGAGAAGCAGCACCTGAGAAGAATGGACAGGAGGCTGTGGTGCAGGCAGCAGTGCCACCAAAGTTAGTAAAAAGATATTCTTCTTCCTTAGGTTGTGTGCATCTTAAGGAACCATGGCAGAAATTTTCCAAATGGCAGCCATAGATCCAATCATTATACAAATTATAAATAAATTACACAGGCATTCCATAAATAATATTCATATTTTAACATTTCTCCAGTTGCAACATCAATACTGGACAATAGTAGCCTGTAGATGAGATGGACAGCACATAAATCTAATGAATAAAAATAAGTAAATAAATATGTGCAGCCTTGCCATTTAGGTTCTCAAGATAATTTCTTACATTTCAAGAGGTAAAATTAATAATACAGCAATGGAACGGTGATACACAAATTACATAAGACGTTTGGTAACAATGGCACATATACTTTTACACAGAAATACTTGTATGCAAAAAACATCTGAAGGACAATTATATTGATATATTAATTGAAACATGATTCTCATTTTTTTTTAAAGATGACAAGAAACAAAAAAGTGCTACGTTCCACTGTTTTTATTTTGGAACACATAATAAAATTAAGAATAATAATGTAATAGAGTATATAGAGGTTGTTGGTGTTTTTGTGTGTTTAGTGCTCACTTAATTTTTAAAAATTCGTATTTTATTATTCTTAAATTTGTTAATGAAAATTATTTTCTAAAATATCTAGATAAGTTCTTCCATTTAAGAAAATCCTTCTGCAAACTGTAAAGATACAGTTAATCTGCTAGAGTTCATTTGCAATAGAGTATGTTTTTTACACTGGATATAATGTAGATATATGAGCATCTTGAAGACCTCTAGCTCTATAGAATGTAATGACTTGAGATACAAAATAAGAATGCCTAAAATTAAAATAAAAAAATGACTTGGGGCTCTCTTCCAGTATTGTAGGATGTCCTCTTTATTTTAAGTGATACTAAGTATATTTTTCCAAATTCTGTCTTGATTTGGGGCATAATATTGTAAACTTAGATTTCATATTTTGTCTTTTTGGACCGTACATTGCCTAAAACTGCCTATTTATGCTCTGTGTCTTGATAAATGATAAACAGAGGCTACTTTGACCTCTGAAATTCTTTTCCCTCAGATTTACTGTAGATTTTGCAGTGTGATACAAGTAGTGTCTGTGATAGCTTGGTCACATACAATCAGCAGCCTTTGCAAAATCTTGTTAACAAGAATCAAATTATCTTTAATGAATAACATTGCTTTGTGGTATGCTTGCTAAGAATGATTGAAGTCATAATCTCAAAACATGTACTGAGTACAATATTAGAAAATTGTCTATGAACCTGAACTGATTTGTGTAGCTGATACTGTTTTTGATATTGTTGCCAGGACTATTGAGATGATATTGAGTCAATTAAATACACAAAAATTGTTAATTCTATTATACAAGCAGAAACAGTATACAAAAGACACAATAGATATTGCAATTATATTCAGATGTAGTCTGAGTTTCTTTGTAAAGCCATAACAGCTATACCACTATAATGCTGAGATAATAAAAATTTGTGAAGCTTGTGATTGGAACTCTTGTCCTATTAATACAGAAGCTAATAGCTACATACTTTGCTTCTATAGGAAATGATCTTTTTCTGGTTGCAGTACATGAATTGGGTCATGCATTAGGCCTTGAGCATTCCAATGACCCTAGTGCTATTATGGCTCCTTTTTATCAGTACATGGAGACACACAACTTTAAGTTACCCCAAGATGACCTTCAAGGAATTCAGAAGATCTATGGTAAGAAAAATTTAATATCCCATAATTTCAAATGGGTTTTAATAATTATGTCAAGCTTTAAAGAAACCTCATGATACTTCAGCCATTTCTGTTTCTTGGCTTGCCTACAGATCCAGGGGGGAGGGGGAATGAATGGAATGTGCATTTGCAGGTGAGCTGTGAAGTCTGAGAATCAAGGTCATTCAGATTATTTATGAAGTAATGAAAGATTTCTCTCATAACAATTGTCTGATATTTAATTGGGGAATGTGACTTGCACTGTCAGGGGAAATGGGAGTTTCTATACTTTTAATTTATGGTTCTGGTGCCAATTTAGCCAGAGTGGTTTTCTATGCATCAGTGCCGATATGGTGTGCTCAATAAAGTTGTATGTTAGAGATTGGAATGTCTCAGCTGTGCTTACCTCGTTGGGATCATCAGTCAGAACCTTGACAAATTAAATTATAAACCAGAATTGTGATTCTGAAGAGTTGGAGCATTTCTCAAATTTGTTTCATGAAGTTTACTGTGGGAAAATTATTATTTAAAATAGCTTCATTTTTTATTACCAATATTTGATGGGCTAAGGCCTAAGACATCCATTTTACTTCTTAAATTGATTTTAGCCCCTTCAGAAGAAAATGTAGTTTTCTTGCTTGCCTGCTAAGATATCATGTACCCCTGAAATATCCCACCACTGAAATAAAGACATGTCTTCAGAAAACTGCTCAGGCATTTCAGACTTCACGTTCATTGTTGAATTTCAAATGGTGTCTTTAAGTGTATTCTATTTTGATATAAGCAGAGGTTATTTCAATAAGAAATATGCAACAATTACTCAACTATTGAGCTGGCTGCAAATGAAGGCTGCCTCTATGAATGCATCAGTTGTAAGGAAATTACATTTTCTCAAGTCAAAACAAGCTGTTGTTGGTAGCATGCTCTTTCACCACTATAGCAAGGACAACTATTGAGTATAAACCATAAGTAAAATGCAGCTACTGAAATGTCACAAACATTTATTGACTAGCACATGTAACATTACATGTGGCAAGCTTGGCACCCTTTGTCCTTATCTCATAGCTGTGCCAACTTTATCACAAAAAAATGTTTAGGCTGCATATGTCAACAACACTCATGCCAAGGAATGGACTTTTAGTGCCATTCCCCACAGGGTTTCTTTCACAAGACTGCATTTCCGTTTCTTGATTTTTTTCTCTCCTCCCTATTTTCATGTAATCACTAAGAGTTCCCTTCTGTAGTATTAAAACAATTTTCTCTTTTGAAGCAATAAAGAAAAGAGCAACAAAAAAGAAAAGCTTTAAAAAGATTAAGAGCTACAGCTTTCATCATGTTATCACCATGCTTTGTATCCAACAACCTTTGTGTAGCCAATTGTTGAAGTGTACAGGGTGAAAGGCTGGAATTCCCAACATTACCTTTCAGAAGCCCTGATCATGCTCTGGAGTCATGGTCTGATAGCTTCTGCTACTATTGCTTATTTTCCAGAGAGCTTCACCCATCCCGCATCCAATTTAGAAGCCCAATGTGTTGAGAGACAGATCTGTTCCTCCATTTGCTATCCTTCTGCTTAAGCTTTTTTTAAAGCTTTCTAACTTTTAAATATATAAAACTACAAGCATTTCATGGAAGAAGATAAATTACAAGACATGACTACATCATAATAATACCAAACCTGTGAAATCAATTAAAAAAGAAAAATACAAAATAACTATAATGCTCTGGATATATCACAAATTGGCCCTTGTCTGCTGTAAGCAAAGCACTCTTTCCTGCATCTCTCTGCCATATCTCCACATCTCAGTACCCTCAGTCCATTCCAAAATTATAATTGAATGACAGCTTGCAGTACCATGGCACTTCGAGCTTGCACTAGTGTGCAAATGCACTGCCAGGTTGTAGCAATGAAATATAAACATGTCCCCTGAGCACTGGAGTGACTCATAACCCAATAAATATCTTCTCCACACTTGCAAAAAAAAATAATAATAAAAGGCTTTAATTTTTCACGAATGAAGGCGAATATACGTGTCCTGGGTACTTTTTATTTTTTTCTAAGCCTTACCCACATGTGATGTGCAATACGTTCCACGGCAACCATAAAAGGGTTACATCCATCGATAGACTAATAGCTAAAGCACTTTATGTAGAAAAATTCAATATTGTTGGTAATTATATTATCCAAAAGTAATTTGCTGCAGGACACTGAAAATTATATTGCAGTTGTAGACAAAGGAAATATTTTGATAAAATCTTTAGAAAAACATGCTCAAGCTGTCTGACAACGTTTAACGTAGTGGGGAAAACACTCCCAACTGCTTTTCAGTTTTTCCCCCTTCTTTTTTGCTTAGGTCCACCTGCTGAGCCGCTGGAACCCACCAGACCTTTACCAACCCTTCCTGTCCGCAGAATCCATTCAACTTCAGAAAGAAAACATGACAGACACTCACGGCCTCCCAGGCCTCCTCTAGGGGACAGGCCTTCTGCTCCTGGCAGCAAACCCAACATATGTGACGGAAATTTCAATACTGTGGCTCTGTTCCGAGGAGAAATGTTTGTTTTCAAGGTAGGAAGAACTGTTCTAGAAGTGTGGTTTTTATTAATCTCTATATATTACAAAGGAGTGTATCATTGATTGCCTGTCAACCAAGTCATTTGGTATTTTGATATCACTAATCTAATTCAATAATGACTGACTTGCAATGAATTTGCCTGCATTCTTTGTCTGAGGAATTACTAGGATACTTTGATATAGCCGGTGACACAATGTCTTTCCTTCTCAAATATTTAGATGACCTACCGGTAAATCTAAACATTTTTAATCTAAAATAAAGATTGTTTTCACATTGCTTCCAAGAATATGCTGTGTTCTGTTTTTGGCATTTGTTTTGATGTAGCAATTTTTTGCCTGCCAGAACTGTAGTCACTGTGAAGAGTTGTTTCATAAATGGGGCTTAGATATGTCTGGGGCATGAGGTGGCAAGCATATGCTGACATTTTGCTCTGCAAATGTGAAAAATAATAATGCTATGCTTTATATTAAATTTTCTGAAATGGTTAGAAGGTATTTGAACCAGAATAATCCTCTTATCTATCAGAAAAAACTCTATTTTCTAATTAATTCCTCACTTTTTTGGTCATTTCTAATTGAAAAATTTTGTATCAAATTTTTTTTTAAAGCAGAATGTTAAACCCTAACAAACAAAGGACCATAATATGCTGAGTTTAGTATCATTGATATATCAAATTGTCTTACATCGAATTGCTTGCACAAATAGAAACAAGTTTGCACATTTTTCTCTGTGATTTGGGAAAAGCAAAATTTTACAAGTACCATTATATCCTATCCCAAAGTGCAAACATTTTACAGTAGTGATACACTAGATCTAGAATTATATCATAATGTGTAAATCTGCTGAGCAAAGCAGGATGTATCATTAAGCTGAGCAAGCTGTAAAGTCTAAATGGATTTTCCTGCATCGGTTTAATTGCAGAAAAGGAAAGTGATTGTTGCTTCTTTAAAATGTTCTGTTGAGCCGAGTAGTTGGCTGTGTATCATAAGAAAGAAACACACTTTATCCTTAGATAAAGATTACAGATCTAGACCAATAGGGATTCATTATACTGAATGAGATGATAGCCTAAGATGCTAATATTTAGGATTGCTGCAAGTTTAATGTTTCTATGACATTCTTTTAAAAATCTTTTAAGAACACATCAATGTTTTATGTATGTGTTGCTGTTTCTTTGTATTTTTAAATATTGTTTTAAATATGGGTTTTTATATTGCTTAATATTGTAAATTTTTATTGCTTTGTATTCTGTTCTGAATTTCTGCATGTCTTTAAGTAAAAAGAATGGGAGTGGAAGGAGAGCAAATTAGTGCATCATTTGATACTTGATTTGAATATAAAGATGAACATAGAATGTAGAAAAAGAAAGGACATGGATTTGAGATGGTTTTCTTCTGGAAATCAATGTTATCAAGTAATCTTGGGGGTGGGGGTGGGAAAGACTGGAGTCAAGAGCTAGTTCTATTATTAGACAGAGTGAGATAGCCTGTCTTAAGCTTTTACTTCCAAGGAAGGAGAGAGGCATTGATGATAGAAATAATACAGGTACCCCATAACATAAGTACCACTCTGCTTTTCTGGAAGTAAAATTCCACTCGTGCCAAAATAACTGGATTGGCTTTGAGTCCTGTGCATCTCATCCTGCTGCTGTGCCTCAGGTAACGAAACGTCTTGCACTGCTTTTTTAAAGAAATCAGTATAAAACCTCTTTCACTGTTTTGTTTCCTCTTACTGGAATCTGAAGTATAATCCTAGGAGGTTGTTTTCTTTTGTTAGGACCGCTGGTTTTGGCGTCTTCGTAACAGTCGAGTACAAGAGGGTTATCCCATGCAAATTGAGCAGTTCTGGAAAGGGCTCCCAGCAAAAATTGATGCTGCCTATGAAAGATCTGATGGAAAATTTGTTTTCTTTAAAGGTATTAATATTTTTATCATGTAAATACAAACAGTTCTACAATAATATGAATATTATTAAAACAGATGCTAGCACACATTGAAAACTTGGCCTTAATACATTTTTGTTCACTTTTTCATCTTTGTTGATTTTTGAATAATCAAGAGATTAAAGAAGGTTAGTCATTCTAAAACATAATTTTAAAATATATATATAAGAAAACATGTATGTGAAATATAATTTGTAATTGTAGAAATGCATGCATTTATATGTATATTTTCTTTTACCTTCAAAATTTCAAAACCAGGCAATACTTGGTAAACATCTGTGAAAATATAATCTTTTCAAGTCTTTTCAACTGCAACTTCCTCCTCCATTGTTGCTGGAGTAAGGACTTCATAGATAACAATTTGCCAAGGAAGATAGTCTCAAAGGACTTTGTTTATATTTATCTTGCTTTTTCAGATTAAACTAGTTTTCTTTGTTTTTTTATTATTAAGCTATGTCTCAGAGAACCTTCAGTTTTCCATAAACTGCTGTCAGTTTGGTGTCAATCTGCCATCTTCTTAAAATATTGATTGTATAGTATGATAAGCAAAAACAGTAATGTAATAGAAAAATAAATAGTGTGTTGCCTTGCAAAATTTGGAAGAACAAGTTGCTGTGTTGAGAAAAGCATGGATCATGAATTAAGGAATTGAATTCCCAAAATGCTCTGCAGTAAAATGGGTATATGTAGAAAGTTGTCTAGTTTGGAGTGGAAATTGAGCAGGGCTCTCGGGATAGAGAGAAATAGATTAATGGAAGTAAAGACATCAGAGGAAGAAGTAATAAGAAAAATCCTGGACTGTGCTGAGATGGACAAATTAACAAAAGAGATAAAAGAAAAGGAAGACACAGAGTATTATATAACATGGAACAAGTTGTATGTCTGGTTGGAGACTAGAAATAATAGAGGAGAATAAATATGGAAAGGTCAAAAGTGAAAATATGTGTATAATAATGTATAATAATAATATGAATTATTCTTAATAAGAAGTAGAACATGAAGGAAGAAAAATGTAAATAAGAAATAATGGGGCTATAAGGACAAATATTCTAAAGAAGAATAAGGGGGGAAATGTAAATAATAGATTACCGTTATGCAATTGCTGTAAAAAAAAAAGGAGGAGTATATATTGTGTGTGTATGTGTGTTATGTTTTACTTTGTTTTGTCTTGTTGGTTAAAAATAAAAATAAATAAAGGAAGGAAGGAAGGAAGGAAGGAAGGAAGGAAGGAAGGAAGGAAGGAAGGAAGGAAGGGCAGTCCTTGTTGACCGGGTGGTGACTGATTCAGTATGGGTTTCTTTAAATTACATCTTACCATACTGTTAATGGGAGAGACAGTTGTCCATCTCCTCAGATGAAAACTGTCCAGTATGATTGAACCTTGGCATAGTTCTTATTTTCTTCAGAGCACACAAACCCCATCAAGATATTTTTATTATTTAAAAAAACTTGATGATATTTAGATGTTTTTATACAAAGTAAAAACCTAGGCAAAACGTTCTTATTGCTAAGTAACTTTTTTTAAAAAAATTCTATTCTTCAGATAATCATTCTGAGGGACACAGTCTTTAGCATAGTCCATATTTGCATCAGGTTTCTGAATTGTGGATTATTTTCCAGAAAACTTTAAAAATTTCCAACACGTTGCAACCACACGGTCAACTTTATGGAAGGCAGTTTATCAACTGCGATTTGCTACTGCCCAATAGATTAGGCTCTCTGGCTGATTCAGCTATCAGAAAACCCTTTTGAATCAGTGAAAACAGTGAAAAATTGTTGCATGTTATTTTCTGAACTTCTAGGATAAAAAAAATAGTTAATAATTTAATTAGCTCTTAGTAATTATATATTATGTATGTTCTTTTCTCCTCAAATCTAGGAGATAAGTACTGGGTTTTTAAGGAAGTGACAGCAGAACCAGGGTATCCGCACAGCCTAGTGGAGTTGGGAAGCTGTCTTCCCCGGGAAGGGATTGACACAGCTTTACGGTGGGAACCTGTAGGCAAAACATACTTCTTCAAAGGAGATAAATACTGGAGATATAATGAAGACAAGAGAGCAACAGATCCAGGCTACCCCAAACCAATCACTGTGTGGAAAGGGATTCCACAAGCTCCACAAGGGGCTTTTGTCAGCAAAGAAGGCTGTGAGTATAAACATGTTGTATTTGGTTCAATAGCACTTAATGTCTTTTTTTTTCCCCTAAGCACAGCATTTGGATTGCTATGACCAAGCAATCATAATAATGCAAATATGCATGCTTATAAGCAGATTGCTGACAAGGCAATACATATTTTGTTCCTGGAAATTTTGGCTAGGTATCTGATTTGCTGAAGTCTGTATTTCAACTAAGCTGGATTGATTTCATCAGTGAGCTTTGTTGACCTTAAACAATAAATGGATGCTTATTCCTATTCTCATTTTTCTTTCTAATGCAAATGAAGGAAATATAATTTTCTCTGTATAGGAAAATCTAAATAATTGTTTCTTTTTACTGTCTTCTAAAGTATGGCTAGTTTTGCCATATACAAAATTCTCTACTTTATCTCCACCCTTACTATGCAGATTTTCTATATCCTGATTGCAGTAAAGCATTTGATAAAATACTCCATGACATGCTGATTAATGTAACAAGCTAGTTAAGTGTAGGTTGGATTACAGGACAATTATTGAATTATTGTCCTGTATTATTGAATTATTGATTTGAAAACTTACTGTATTCCGAACTGCGTTCAAGGTTTCATTCAGACTGCTCAGGAATAATTTCTCATTCAACTATGTTGAGTGGAATGTCAATCAGTTTGGGGTCCTCTATTTTTCAGAAATTTATGATTTGATTGAGGAGATGAAGTAATACATCAGATTTGCAAATGATACAGTATTGACTGCAGTAGTTAATAGTCTAGAGGAGAGAAGGAAAATTTAAGATTATGCTGATAGATTTGAGAAATGGCTAAAAGTAAAAACAAATCTTAAAAAGACAAATAAAAAGTTCTTCACTTATGAAACAAAAATCAAATGCAGATGTGTATGATGAGGGATACCTGCCTTGTTAAAAATAGTTGCAAAAAAGATCTTGGAATTATTGTTGATTTCAGACTGAATTTGAGCCAAAAATATATTGGCTTACAAAGATGCCAAATTCAATTTTAGGCTGCATCAAAAAATGCAATTACCAAATCATAAGTAATCATTCCACTCTATTCTTTTAATTAGGCTCCACTTCAAAATTGTGCCCAATTCTGGACAGCAATTTGTCTGGGAAGACTTAATTTGGATTCCTATACACAATGGCCTAAATGACTGATTCCTGTGATTCTAGTAGTGCATGAATGGAGTAATTTCTGCTTTCTTTTTCAGTTTATACTTACTTTTATAAAGGTAAGGAATACTGGAAGTTTGATAACCAGAGGCTGACTGTGGAGCCGGGGTATCCTAGGTCAATTCTCAAAGACTGGATGGGTTGCAACCAGAAGGAAGTTGAACGAAGCAAAGACCGACGCCTCTCTCATGATGATGTTGATATTATGGTAACTATAAACGATGTGCCTAGCACCGTTAACGCAATTGCAGTTGTGATCCCCTGCATATTATCTCTGTGTATCCTTGTCTTGGTATACACAATCTTCCAGTTCAAAAATAAAGAGGTCCAGCAAAGTGTGACATACTACAGAAGACCTGTCCAGGAATGGGTATGACAAGCTCAGTGGCTCATTTGGTTCATGAGATGAGGATGATGGGCTGCAGACATTAGAAGGCGGTTTGATGGGTAGCCTGCCAAACAACTTCTTCAAGAGACATGAGTCAGAGAATTCTGGGACTGAAAACAAAAACAAAAATCAACTAAACCCAGGTGGCCTTGCACTATAGAGCCGCTTTCCTTCTGACTGCCTCAGTGCCGTGTGTCTCGGTATGACATATTTGACCAACCCACTCAGTGAGTGTTGGGAGACCTCAAGAGAAGTTTGCTTCAACCTTTTTTCAATTCACTTGAGCAATCTTCTTCAGTGCCCTCTTTTAAACCCAGCATTTGCCAGTGTAGCCAACCACCTATTGAGTCTTTTTTTCTACACTTGCCTCATAAAAAGAGACAGTTCTGTGGGTCACAAAAGGAACATTTCAGTACCTTCTAAAGAGGACATTCTGAGGCTTAGTCATTCTGAAAGATTTTAATTTATTACAGGATCCAGGCAATTACCTGAATACCATTTTTTCCAATACCTGCTGGTCAGATGTTTTGTACATTCATGGTAATGTTTCCACTCTTCAGCAACAAACACAAAGAGCTCTTAAGAGGTAATTTTGTGTAGACCACAACTTTAAACAGCTCTAATGTCATTTCAGATCACCAAAACTAACAGAAATGAAATTTCTGAATTCAACTAGTCTGCAAGACTAAAAAATTGAATTGACAAACACTAATGATGTGAATGCAGATCTTAATGATCTTGTTTTTAATAACGTGTCATGTAATAAATATTTAAATGTCATATTACCACAATTTTAAGTTGGCAACAATAAATTGTTACCATTATAAGATGAAATGTATGTTCCATGATATTTTCACCCATTTATATAAGAGAAAATAAATCACATATTCATTAGAGTAGTAAAATTTGTGGGCAAGTTTGCAATGGGGGTTTGGTTTGCAATGACGAAAGGAGTGACATAAATCAAGAAATGTATTTTAAAGCTTGTAAGTTTAAAATTTGGCAGTGTAATTAAGTCACTGTTTATTGACATTAGTATATTTAAATAGAAGGAAAATAGGGGGTGCAAAACATAACTAAGGGGGAGGTAAAGGCCTTCAAAAGACTAGGGCTAGATAGAGCCCTGCCTGGCAGTGTCCTTGGCTTCATCTGAAGCCTGTCTTCCCTACCTCCTCTTAGGTGTTGCTGCCTGGAATGGGTTAACTTGCCACAGGCCAACTCGCTGCAGGACAATGCAACCATTCAATTTAATTATTTAAAATAATAAAAAAATATTTTAATTTTTGTCATTCACATTTCATTTTGTCCCTGCTTTTACATTCTTTCTTTAATGATTCTGTTCCACCATTTCTTCGATATTAATATAACTCTTGTCCCACAGCAAGTTGGCCATGCCGAGTTTTTCCACACCAAGTTGGCTGTGGCAAGTCCAGAGATTGAAATACAGCTTGAGGGAAGTAAGAAAAGGAAAGTGCTGAAATCAATGGATAGATGGATTTGATTGAATTTTTAAATTTAAGATGTTTGTTTTGGTTTTATACAGCATTTGCCTAGAGCAGAGGTCCCCAATCCCTGGGCCCTGGACCGGTACCAGGCTGTGGAATGCCAGCAACCGGTCCACACAAACAAGCAAAGCCCCATCTGTGGGATGCAGGCAACACACAAAACCACGCCCCCCCCCCTCGGTCTGCGGAAAAACTTCTCTCCATGGAACCGGTCCCTGGTGCCCCAAAGGTTGGGGATCTTTGGCCTAGAGCAGGAGTGTTAAACTGCCGGCCCGTGGGCCAGACGTGTCATCTGGAAGACTCGCCCACCCCATTGCCGGCAATGGCAAAATCGTCCCAATACGTTGCTCAACATCACGTGATGTCACGAGTTTGACATGTCTGGCCTAGAGTCACCGTTGGCGAGATGGGCGGCATACAAGTTTGACAAATAAATAAATAAATGGATAGGCCACATAAGTGTAAAAGAGTGAGAAGCAAGCATACCAGCCTTGCCCAATTCAGTCTCCCAGTAGGCCTTCTCTGGAATTTTTCTCAGCCAAAACCTTTAAACCTATAAAATTGCAGGCATTCAAGCAAGTTAAGAAAAAGTTAAAGGCAGTTTCATATTCAGTACAAGTACTTTGTTTTCAGTAGACATCTAAACAAGGCACTCCTAAACATGGGTGTGTTGGATCCAATCCATGAAAAGGATATAGACAAAAAGATAATTTTATTGCCACTTTCTCTTCCTAAAAACCCTGCCTCTTTCAAAGGGATGCTGAATGGGCTATTCTGGGATTATGGGAATCTCCCCAAGTAGCTTAACAATTTATATGAGCAGGGTCTCTCGCACGGAAGGTAGTATGGTCCTCTCCTCAGAAATCTTTCTTACTCCAGCCAGAAAAGTTGAACTAAATGGTGGCTATACAATGCCAATTCTGTCCAGAGAATAGGAATATACAATCCAGTAGCAGAGTGAAGGCTGTTTCCAGATTTTGTGATTTTTTAAAAGCAGATTCTCTGCAATTAAAGTGGCAAGCTTCTAATGAATGCAAATCTATTGCTTTCAATCTTTCTACTAGACAATAACCAAACAAAGGATGAAAAGGTGCAGTTTTTTTCCAAATTTTCACTGATTCTGTTCTATAAATCTACTCCAAGCTGTCTTTTCTCAGCTGGGCTCAAACATAAGGCTCAGCTGGAGAAAAAATGATTGAACATTATTCAAGAGAAAACTTAAAGAAAACAGATATAGTAAAGATTAAATACAGTATTTCACACATAGATATTACAGGGGAAAAAAATAGAATGGATAATTAGTTTGTTCTTGAAATTGTTAATTTTGTCTCAACCCCAACACTGAATTAGTAAATGTTATACTAATTTATATATATGTTGTAACTGAGAACATTCCAAATATATTAGCTTTAAGAAAATAAGTGATATTCTGAGAGTCTAGGAGGCCAGACTATAGGATTGCAAACCATTTCTTTAACAATACAGATTAAAAGGCAATGGTTTTTAGGTGAAGCATTTTGACTTAGCCTTAGGGCTAAAATACGTTCTTTTTGTGCATTCAACTTGAAATGCAATACAGAATGTATATGATAGTAATGTGCTATTACTATGTACTAAATTGGTATGAGGACACCATCACTCTGTAAGGTCCCAGTCCCTTACCTGAACTTGAGATACCTTGTCAATCTAATCTGATAACCCAAGTGGAGACTTCTTGATCAAGCAGCACTTTATTTGATCAAATCAAGTAGCTGGGTGTCCAACAATCTGGAACACTGGCAGAGTTACGTCCAGAAGTGCCACACCTTAGAAAGTTGGTAGCATTGCTTTATAAACTTTATTAGCCAATGAAAATCAGACAACAGGGCCATTACACCATAAGAAAGATATCAATCATTCCTGTACACTCCTTTATTCCCTCCTTCAGTATATCACATCCATGTACATGATTCTCACGCTTGCATGAGATTTCCCTGGTGCAAAAGCTGTTTACAAAAAGCAAGAAAGCAACAGTTAGACTAAACAATTTTCCTTTGTTCCCGAACCCTTCAATTTCAAGCATGATATGACAGAAACACAGGTTAATAGCACATGCATTTTCAGTTCTAATGGTCAAGGACTTCAGCTACTTCATTGCAAAAACATTTTAAAGATTTGAGCAGAGTAATACCTTCTTATGTTGCAAATATGAACCTTGGTTTTAAGCTTGGTTATTTATAAGATTTTACTGTACCCATTTGCTAATAAATAATCTTTCAATATATTTCTAGACCTATATAAATTGTTCTAAACATAGCTTCTACTTTAGAATGAATCCAATTGAAACTTAGAAAATGACCATAGCAATTTTTTCATAGAAAATTCAGAACCAGCTTAACTGTTATTTCTTTAGATAATTTATAAAGTGGGTAGGATTGAATCTGATCACTGAGAAGCCAAAGATTTCAAAGTCCACCATACTCAAAACTACTAAGGTTACTAGAACTGTATTTCTGTTGTTTTTCTTTTTTCAGCTTGATTTTTTTTAAAAAAAAATGTATTTTCCAATTGAGTTTAATGCCAAGTTATTAAACTAGTGTTGGTTAATAGAAATGTATACTAATTTGATATTGCTTGGGGATCAAAAGTTTGTACTTCTCTTTTTGCTATTTGTTGCGAGTCCTCGCCTGCCAGCAGATCCGGCAGCCGAATCAGATGAATCAAATGAGGGGGAAGGGTTGCCTGGGGTCACATTGGAGTCTGTGGAAGGCTCTGAAGAGCATGAAGACTCAGAACTAGATGTGACACCAAGCCCATCTACTCATGCTCAGGCAGAGACAACTGGGTTGGGGGCCTGAACTGAACGAAGACAAAGAACAGCTGGGGTCTGTTCCAGATGCACGGGGAGGAAAGGCATGCAGGACAGCGGAGGGCGGAGGGGCGGCTCTCCAAGAATAAGAAGTCTAAGCCACATCCTGGCTGGACTATAAAGAGAGGTGTGGGAGGGGCTGGTTGCCAAAGGCAACCTTTCATGGTATAACTTTGTGCTTCTATCGTTGGATTTCTTGCCTCAGGATTCTTGGATATTTAACAAGGTTTGTGGGCTTTATGTGTGTTTGAGTGACTTAAACCTTGAACACTCCAGCTGAGAACTCAGAGACTGAATCTTGTTCGTTTCAACAACTAAAGGACTGGTTGGAGTTTTGTTTCATAAAAAATGTGTAAAAATAAAAGGGGTTTATCTTATCAAGTCCTGCCCTGTTCAATGCAAAGGGGTTTTTCCTCGTTGAGTAACTGGTTGAGCAGTATTCACGTAGGCTGGGACAGAACAATATTGGGTTTAGTGTAATAGAAGCATCCACAGTGGCTAGGATAGTGTTGAGGAGTCACATCTACCTTCAGAATCCAGGTGTACTGAGAATTACTGCTGCAATTTATAGAAATGGATAAACTTCATCTCAAGCCTTACATCAAATAATACTTTATGTATTATGGTCATGCTTGGTTTATAGTTCAAACTCAGATTATATTATTTCAGCCTTAGTATTTTCTTCTTTCGATCGTATAGGACTTAGTAAACATTTTCTGTTTTTAGTGCTGATATGAAAAAGGCCTGTTTGCATGTATCTCCCATGCTAGCAGCTAAACTTTTCTTCAATGTTACTCTATCAGTGATCTTGAAATATTTTTCCTTCCCTTAGTTTTGGGCCCAGATTAAAGCTTAATTCATTTCTAATCTATATGGTATAGCTGCAGTTATATAACAATATAGGATGCAAAAGTACTGCTGTTATCCATTTCACAAGCCCCCAAAGTGGACAAACCAAGTATGTATCTTGTCTTATTTATATGGAGAGGGACAGAGGGAGCGAAATGGATACTCTAAACGTTGCAGAAGTTTAGGTTGCTGTTAAAAAAACCCACGAACACTGGAAGCCTGACCTTACTGTTAAGAATATGCACTTTTGCATGCCACACACCAGATTTAACTATTGAGCTAACAAAGGCTGCACGCTTCTACTGTCATACAAATGAAATTCTCATGAAATCAAAGACTGATTTATTGAAATAATTTATCATTTCCAAAGGGCTACCATTCTGTCAAATTCATTTTAAAATAAATATCTGTACCATATCATTAAAACTCTTTAAAATCCATTGGAAGGCTGATTATCTCATTAATGGTCGGGGAAAGTATCTAAGATGCAAGTTCAGTTTATTTTTGTTTACTACCATAGCAAGAATGTGAATTTCAGTTGTGCCTTTCTACATATTATCCACAAGCAGAGCCAAATGATGAAAACAATATCTCACTCTGTAAATTGCCATTTAAAAATACAAACATTTCCCGGATTATGTACAACCTGACTTACATAAACTCACCTTTATTGAACATTTTCTTAATGCATATAAAAGTGAATTTTTCACAGAATACAAAGTAGTACAGCATCCAGATGAACATACAACCGTGTGCAGTTATGCAAGGTTTTTCAGAACAGTACATAAGTTGGGGATTGGCACTGAACTTAATAGAACTTAATAGATTCAGTAATTAGATGCTATGGTTTATGTTGCAGCCTTTAATTATAGTCAAAGCCTTCATGGTCAAAGCAATATATAGTTAGCAACTAATCGACTTTCTTGGTATTTTAATTAAAGAACTGCTATATCTACAAAGAAAATTTTTATTAGAAGCTTAACTTAGCTCTGTTACCATCCTATAAACCTATACTACTAAAAGTCTATATTCAATTATATTGGTTGTGAGTTAAATCTCTCAAGGTTCTCTCTGCAGTATCAAAGTATGAAAACTGCAGGAGTCCACACTTATGAATCAAGAGAACAAAGGTCAATTTTGTTGAAAGAAGCTATGCAATAGGCAGCAGTTGGAGGCTAAGAATGCAACATTTTTCATTTACCTCCAGCTCACCCTATTCTTTTATCTGGGTGTCATGCATGAGCTACACTTAGAACAGATGACTCAGAGTCAGTCTAATCACTTCCAATCTTACAGAACAAGTATCATCACTTCAAATGGAAGATACAAGGCGATTCTGATAAGGAATACATAACCAGTGATGACAGTTTTTATAATTTTAGTGTATATTTAAAACATCAAACTATGATACACTAATTTGGTAGAGGACTGATAAAGCAAAAATGGTGGCCTAGCATATTACTTAAATTCGATACAGTTCTTGTTGTTTCAAGTCCACCTCAATGTCCATACCAATTATTTCAAGGATTATTAAAACTTGACTGTGTTGCTATCACAAAATTTCCCCTTCCAAATAATATAACGTTTATATTGTTTTTGTTGTTATAACAATATAACAAAAGAGAACAAGCAAGTTCTTGTTTATGCAATGACAAACACTGTAACCTTGGCTTTAAGACAAGCAATATATTTTGATCATAAAAGATAAGCATGAAGGCATCAGAAAAAAACCGTTTTAATTAAATCTATTATTTCTTGATAAAAAAAAGACTTTCTATTAAAGAACAGATGTAGTTCTCTTTGGCTTTTTAGTGACTTCACATATTGACAAACCAGATTTTATTTACACAACCTCCTAGAAATCTTACTTACTGAATGTTTGGTTGTGCTGAAATGTTCCATGGATTCTTTCAGCCCCTTAAAATATTATGTTCTGGGTACAGAATGATGCATGATAGTAACATGGTTTTGCTGGCTAAGTAAAAGCTATCTTGAAAACTTCTAGATTAAAACCACAGAAACGCCAGCCACTTCTGAACAGAAAAAAAATCAGCATTCTTCAGGTGGCATTCTGATGAATACTGGGGAAAAAAATAATTCTTTTCCTTATTGTGATTGCATGTACTAAATTCTAAACATCATCTCATGAATAAATGAAAGCAAAAACAAAGCTACATAATTTTTTTCTTGTTCAAGTATGGATTGCCAAAGGGAATGGAATTTAGAATAATATAATTTTGAAAGTATGATTGTGGTAGAGACCTCCATCTTGGACTGGAAGAATTTGCTCGGGTGAGTAATCAAGATCACAATTTGGCAGTTCACACCTGTAGTGTTTCTGGAGCATATCATGTCAAGCTACAAAAGGGAAAAGAAATGATTAGCAAAAAGCAGACTTGAAGAGTTCCAGCTTTACTTTCATGCTTGATCTATAAAATCAGTCAAAGTCCAATTGAAAATCAGTACCCCAAACTAAAACTAAGTGAGATGCATATAAAGATTTCAGCATTTTGTAACCAGAGGGCATTGACAACTGTCAAAGCTTTCTACAATTTAGTGATTGCTATTTGCGCACTTCACAGCCAGCTTTTAACAAGTGGAGTCAATGGAGAAGCTGGCAGTAAAATCTCAAGTTGCAATCATGTGATGTCTCACTTAACAATTGCATCACTTAGCAATAGAATTGTTGATCCCTATTTTGATTATTAAGTGAGGGCTACTTGTAATAATAATGCTGAACTATTTCTGTCCAGTTGACTTAACATATCATGTCAATGCGACTTCCTCATTGGTTTTTCATCTTTACTAACAATTAAGCACTATATGCTCTTCTTGGGAGCAGATACAAGCAGGAGTAAGACAGGGAAATACATTTATATAGTATTAATGAGAAAGTAGTACTATACATCTTCTCAGAATGCTGAATCCCTTGGGATTTACAGAGACTGAAAACATAAGACGACTGAAGAAAGCTGTTACTTATATTCCGGCTACTATCAATTGCTAATAATTTTTGAAAGTAGATTAATGTTTGACTTACCTGTCAATCAAAGAATCTCTCATAGTGGTAGCAATGGCACTTGGCTGTGCTTCATTAAGTTTGAAAACACTCTCAATAACAGATAATTCCGTGCTGGTTGTATCCAGGCCACAGAAGGCACACCAATCATTCACAACCATTCCAGCTGCAATCACCTCACTGCCACGATTAACAGTTCCAGCCTGGTAAGAAAGATAACTAGTGTCTTAAGAACTTCTTTCTCATGCATATTATCAGGTCTTCTTGCTTAAGGTTGCATGAATATAAAGTTTATTTGCAATATTTAAATAGATCAGAGGACCAAGCCTTCAGTAGGCATGCATGATATTCACGATGTTCAAAGTCAGTGAATTGGCAGTTTTTTTGCATTTTCCAAACCATGCATTATGGTTTAGTGTTATGAACCCAACCATTCTGGCTTATTGTCCAAAGCACCTGAAGGCAGGACAAGAAGCAACGGGTGGAAACTAATCAAGGAGAGAAGCAACCTAGAACTAAGCAGAAACTTCCTTACAGTTAGAATAATTAACCAGTGGAACAACCTGCCTCCAGAAGCAGTAAATGCTCCAACACTGGAAGTTTTCAAGAAGAGACTGGACAGCCATTTGTCTGAAATGGTATAGGGTTTCCTGCCTAAGCAGAGGTTTGGACTAGATGACCTCCAAGGTCCCTTCCAACTTTACTACTACTACTACTACTACTACTACTACTATCATCATCATCATCATCATTATTATTTTCACTGCTCCTAATTTTATGGTTCATTTAGGATTAGGCTTTAATACCTCATGCATATTTGGAAATAACTGTTTTGTTGTCTATTTCTTTATGCTATGAGGACCACATAAGACTATTTAATCCAAAAGGAAGTTGAAGGAAAAATATTGAAACAAGAGATTCCATAGAAAGAGACCTCCTGCACAGAGTTAACTAAACTGCAGTAGCATACAGATGGATGAAACTGTGGCTGAATACATTCCCAAGTCATAAAATGTTAAAATTCTATTCTGTAATTTGGCTCAAAATATAGTTTAAAGTAGCTGAACACTCCAAGATTTGAACAGAAAGAACATTTACCACAAGGGGGACTTGCAACAATGAAGAAAGCTCATCCTGGTCTTCTATAGATGTCTTAGGATGTACTAAACCGCCCTGGTTGCTGAACACACAGTAACTTCCCACAAGTGCTTGGTCTGCCACTGTCTGTCTAAATACTTCAACTTTTAGTACATCAGCTAAAATCTCTTCTGTCTCCTGTAGGGGAAAAAATGACATTTAAAATTAGGGTTGTTAGAATACATGTATCTGATTTTAAATAATCATGATTATGCTTTCATTGCTTTTATCCCCAAACTTCAATAGCATTAAGCATAGCCAATCAATGTTTTTTGTTAGCAAGAAAGCCCTAATTAATTCATCTTGAAATGAAAGGCATTTGCAACAGTTAGAATAAAAAAGTTTTTTTTTCCATAATAATCTGAATGGAACAGACTTTGCTGTCTAATCTAAAATGGTGCTTTTGAAAGATTGCTGAGGAAGAAAAAAACTAACAGAAATGCCTATTTAGTGGCAGAACTGATTGGCTGTCAACTAAACCTTGTAAACTTGCTTCAAACAGATTTTGAACATTTAGATTGCTAGAATATGAAGTATTTTAAAGTCCCATCAGCTGAGAAATGTATTGTAGCTAGATATCCTTGAAGTTACATTTATTCCAAAGTCTGAAATTTCTCCAGTTTTTGTACCAGTCAAATGCTACAACAACCTGAACACAAGATGTCACAATAGAGATATTGGGCACCAGGCATTAAAGCACTTCTAGGAAGTCCTTAAATGAAACTTAAGCAATTCCCAAATTTTGTTTTTATTTTATTACTTATTATATAGTAGTCTTATTTCTAGGATTTGTGCCCAATGTCATCACTCTTGAATTAATTGTACAATCCATTTTCATTCTAGCTCAAATACTAAATCCAAAACTTTTGATACTGCTAATGGAAACTATTCCATTATTAGGATCAGTCGTGCTTGCATTTTTTGTCTTACTTGTGCAATTGCTTCCAGCTGTACTTTTTCCAGTAACCCAACAATGGATATAACCTCTAAAGTCTAAATGACACTCTTCCAGCTCAAGAGAAATAAGAGCAAGGTCACTAACCTGAATATAATCACTTCTCCAAAAAGGATTTCTTACAAAATAAAATACCTTATATAAAATGACTCATCCATATGTATTTACATATGCAACTGTATTTACATTCAGCTACTTTGTATTCATTGCATACTCCTAATGTGTATTAATTCAAAGATCAAATAATCATGTGCAGGATTTGCCTTCACAACTGCTAGTGAGATAGTTCAACCAAATTAATCCTCTGCAGCTCACTTCAGAAGTGAGTGAGCAGAGGAATTGCTGGGTTCAGCAAGGGGTGGAGGCAAGTCCTGTGCTGACAAAACTTACAAGTCCTCTGCTTGCTCAGCCAAGCTTGCCTCCTGCAAAGCCTTGAAAAATGCCATAGTTGCCTCAGCTGGATGCACCCTTCCTCCTGTAGAAGTGGCTCCAACATGCGCCTTTCTGAGTTGGCAGCCTGGGGGGGGGGATGATTTTGTGGGACAGGCAGGTGCACATACGCGCGCAAGCTCCTACAATGTTTGCGGTGACATGAGCATGAGTGGGACTGCAAGTGCCCACAATAAGGCTCCTGTAAGTGGGGCCATGTACATGCACTGGCTGGCCACTCACATGGCCCATTAGGCCACAGCCCGGTAGTGGGCCATGGCCCACAGGCTGGGGACCCCTGACCTAGATGGCCTATTGTAGTTGTTCTAAAAGCACTTACATTGAGAGCTGCAGAGCACACAATCCACCTCTGAGAAGTCCCTGCCCCTATACTTCCTCCAGTTCTGCTGCCACCCCAAACAGTGTCCACACACAGCCACTACCTTCACCTGGGGGACTGCAGTCTCTGCTGCCTTGCCCAGCACAGAATATGCTGTATCTCGCCTTTCCATCCTACTGCACGCTGCACAGTCTGCAGATTATTGCTCCTTCTGCTGTGGCAAATGTGGCTTCTCTGCCTGCACTCAGCCCTGGCTCCTCCACTGGCTCTGTCCTGCTGCTTCCTCCTGGCTGGGCCAGGCAAACTCCCGTCTGCAGATGAAATTCTGCCACCCTGCTGTGCTCACTATTCATGACCTGGATCAGAACCATCAGCAGGAGGAACACAGCAAAGGTCAATTGGAGTGAGAGGCAACAGAGATAGATAGCATAGTGCAGGACAGCCAAAAGAGCAGATAGTGGGAGAAATGCGAGCGAAGAAAGTTGAAGCAAAGGCAGTTTAGCATAGGGCAAGAGAATGTGACTGTGGGACACTGAGAAGACTGTAAATGTGGGAGAGGCACCAAGTACCTAAATTTTGATCACATGACCAAGAGAATGCTGCAATGACTGGAACCTCGGGGACCAGTCTTAACCACCATTCATTCAGCACCATCATAATTTTGAATGGTTGCTGAATATGTCAAGCAAGGACATACAGCAAATGCTCAATCAAATGCTCAAGGTTAAACTGTTGTTAAAGCTTAGTCAGTGCAAACATGATTTTTAGTACTAAGATTTATTTTTATATTTACTCTGTCAATGTCTGGGTGGGCAAGTGCTACGTAGTCATTGCATGCAGTGACATTGCCCAATGCAGAAAGACGTTCTTCCACCCTCTGGATTCGCACTGAATCAGGAAGGCAGTTTCTGATATGCTGAAGTTCCTGGTCTGTAGTATTGTTTGGGACTAGCAAACCATGTCTGTTACCTAAAATATAGAAAAAAAACTGCCTTCAATTTCTGTCTTGAACATTCTATGCCATAAAATAACTCGGGACATGATGAATCTAATCAATGTTCTTTAACAGCATCTGACCTTTAACAGTTTACAGTACAGTCAGAGTGGGTTTTCTAACAAAATACACCCATAGCACAAATGGAAGCATATACTGTATTTTTCCGTGTATAAGACTCTATTTTTTCCTGCAAACACAGGTGCATCTTATACAACTGCAGCATCTTATACATGAAAAAATAAGGGCATACCTGTGTGGATTCTTTACATGCTGCTGCCATGCCGCTTGGTGCAGGAGGATATCGCTGGCCCGAGGTGCCGCCTGGTGCTGGAGGATTGCACTGCCCCAAGGATGCCGTCGGTCCCACTGAAGCCGCCTTCTATGACCCGTTTTCACCGGCGCAGCTCGGGCTGAAGCCGCAAGAGGCACCGGGAAGCTGCCTCAGTACAGTGATTGATGGCCAAGGGGATGGGTGGGACTAAGCCTGCAGACCATCTGACTGGAGGAAGCCACCTCCGTTGTGTAATGGTACCGAGAAGTACCAGTAATTGGGGGGCGTCTTATAGACGGAAAAATAGAGTATTTGAAAAAAGAATATTCTGCTTACCTATTGCCTCTCTCAATTCCACTATCACTGTTGAGCATAAAATTGATTTTAATAAAAAATATTATAGCTAAATGGGAGTGGGCAACTATAATAAATTTAAATAATTGGTTATTTTTATATTATTTCCATTTGCATCTCTTACAATAGATTAATATAAGATTTTGAAAAAGGCAGTGATGAGAACCCCCCACCAATCTTCCCTATTTAGTCTCTGTAGGCACTTAGATAAGTTTCTCCATCTTCCCAGAAACTGTAGTAATTAATACAATGAGAGCCCATAGACTGAATCCAAATTATACGAAGGACTCCCCTTAACATAAAAAGATTGTTAAATACAAGTTCCCATAATATTAATGTTAATGTTTTAATTGCAGAGCCTGGCATCAACATGTTTATCAGGTTAAACATGAACGGAACTCAACAGTATATTTGGGTTTTATAAATGAAGGGTGCAATAGCAGCTTGCCTTCCTTTTCTGAAATATTACAAACTAGTAGTCAAACTGCTTGTCAAAATATATTAAGGCTAAAATGGGATGAGATTTCTACAGTTAGGAAAACTCAAAATAATTTATATGAACAGCTCACCTACACACATTCTGCCAATGATTCGACATCCAGCAATAGAAGCATGAATTACAGGAATGGTGTCAGAAAGCTCCCCTTCGAATACACTAAAACACAAGAGTAAGATTTAAATATGCAAAGGAAGATCATGAAGTTCAATTCAAACATAATGAAAGAGCTACATTTTCAAAAAGTTTAGTAAAGGAACAAGCTGAAGAGTAGTAGTCTTACTGAACTCTTGTGACCAAACGTATCCAGTATAGCGTAAGTAAAAGAGCAGACCTTTACAGGTGCTGATCTCTGATATAGCAGTCAGTACTGGAGGGAGGTTGGGGAAATCCCATATTAAAATCTCCTCTCAACTATGGGCGTCACTGGGTCATTTCTGTCTGCTTGGTTTTGCCCGACCCAACCTGTCTCAAAAGACATTGAAAATAATTATCACAGAACGAAAAAGGGCCCAAATATGCTCTTTCAGTATAAAGGAAGACCGCTACAGCCTTCCCCACTTATTCTTCTTTAAATGCAACTCAGGGAAAAAGCTGCACTGCAGCAAAGGAGGGTCCCGATCTGACCGGAATCTTTACTGCCTCTCGGATAATCAAAGCAAATCAGGGCTAAGATCCGGAGGGGAGGAAGAGAAAATAGGCCGAGCTTCTCTATCATCACCTGTAGAAGCCCTCAGAGCCTCCAATGGCCACCAGACAGTAGGCGTTGGTGAGCTTCGCGAAGCAGCCGATCTCGTTGTTGTTCTCGAAACTCGCCCGGACCGCCATAATCGTCAAAGACCCGGCAAAAAAGAGGAGGAAAGGCAGAAAAGGAATCGACGGCCCAAGACACGAGGATAGGCCTAGATGACCGTAGCCCGGAAACCGATAGTGACGTTATTCCGCTTGTGATGTCATACCGCCTAGGTTGATGCTGATTGGACGAATACAACTTGGCGCTGGCTCTCGTTTTTCTTCTTCCCGGAAGCTCCCTCCCACCAAATTGCGAAACGATCCCGAGACCTTGACCTTGTTGTGAGGTAGGGCGGCGAAACTCCAGGCACCGCTGGACACACACGTTGTTGTTGTTGTTAGTTGCGAAGTCGTGTCCGACCCATCGCGACCCCATGGACAACGTTCCTCCAGGCCTTCCTGTCCTCTACTATTTTCTGGAGTCCATTTAAGCCAGAGCACCAGTCACCTAGCAAGGTGTCAAAAACTTGACACCCCCCCCCCCAAAAAATGGAAAAAAGTGATAAAGTACAGGTAGTCCTTGACTTACAACAGTTTGCTTAGTGACTGTTCAAAGTTACAACGGCACTGAAAAAAGTGACTTATGACCATTTTTCACACTTATGACCGTTGTAACATCCCCATGGTCATGAGATTTACATTTCGATGCTTAGCAACTGATTCATATTTATGATGGTCACATTGTTCCAGGGTCATGTGATCGCCTTTTGCAACCTTCTGACAAAGTTAGTGGGGGAAACCAGATTCACTTAACAACCATGTTACTAATTTAATCTCTCTCCCTCTTTCTCTCTCCCTCTCTGTCTCCCTCTTTCTTTCTCTTTCTTCATCTTTCTCCCTTTCTCTCAGACCAAGGGCAGACCCAAGGGCAGGGAGAGGGAGGGAGGGAGGGAGAAAGAGACAGAGAGCCTTTTGACAAATCTAAAATGAAGATAACACTGAAGATATATATGTAATAAAGGTAAAAAAGGATATATGCAGTGTTATCTTCATTTGAGATGTCAAGGGTTTTGCAGCTCCCAGTGCTTTGTTTTCAGTGGGAAATGGGTCCAAGTGGCTCTTTGAGTGTTTTGGGTTGTTTACCCCTGCTCTACCCATACAGTGGCGTGCCATTGGCCAGAATGGGCAGTGATGGAGGGGGGAGCGCTTCTTTCAAAACATCGCATGCTGTTTTCTGTGTCTCTTCGTATTGTACTTTTTTAGCGTGCACTCCAGTTCGATATTATATTTTCTTTGTGTCTTTTTAATCTTTTTTACAGTGCGTGTGACTATATATACTTTCCTTGAATCTTAATTTAGTTTCAGAGTTTTCGTCTTGAAATTCTTAGTTCCTGCATTAAGGTTTGTTCTTATGCCCTTTTTATATTTCTTTTTGCATCTTAAATTTCACTTGTAATTCAATCACTAAATGTTACTGTTTTTCTTTTCGGGCATTTCACTTTCTTGCAATTGAATTTTGTTTTCAGTGGTCATTACATTTAAGCGTCTTGAATAAATAAGATAATAATGAAATACATGTATCATGAAGTTTGGGAATAAAGTGACGGATGGCACCAAAATTTTTCACATAGTTGAGATGTGGGAAAAAAACTGGAAATAAATTATTTGCATCATATGTCCTGATGACAATTTTAAAGAAAACAAAAAAAGTGTTTGCATAAATTGAAGAATTATTTCTTATGTTGTGATTGAGAGGTTATGTTGGGGGCTGGGGGGCGATGACAACTTCCTCATTGGCTCAAGGGGGTGATTTGTTCAAAAAGGTTAAGAACCACTGTTCTAGTTGGTTGTGCCTCACCACCTTGTAACCATATGCTTGGTCAAAGAGTGAATCCTGTGTTTCTGGTGAAAACTAAGGTACTGTTTTGGAAGTGAAACTTCATCATTGTAAAATATACTAATATAAACTTGGAACTAATTAAAAAGATAGTTTTAAAAACATCATTATTTTCTGTCTCCATCATGACTCTCCATACCAATCGTTGAGAAGGTGGCTGAATGGGCCCTTATAAACATGTTGGATTTGGGTTAGTTGACAAGTTGGAAAAACACTATTGTAGTTCAGTGCAAAGGAGGACATATAAAGCCCTCTATGAGCTATAGGGACTTTTTTTGACCTGCATTCAACAGAAAGGGAACTTACTGAGCTGTTCTTAGGTGACAGAATAATGTAGTATCCACTGAATGACACCCATTTGCTCGATTTGAATTGCTCAGTTTGCATAACAGTAAACTAAAATCTTCTTGACTAGTTTGTGGATCAAATGTGTTGTGCTAACTAAGCCATTCCTTGGCCAAACTGAGGAGAGAGGCTTGGGCTACAAACATACTCTCCGCAGTTTAGTATGTAAGTTTAGTAATCTAGCTGGAGGGAAGGGTGTCTTTTATTCCCAATTGCCCCTTTAAATCAAAGAGTAAGTCATCTGCAGCACCTTCCTAGCACAAGTTACTTCATTATGCAAATAATATACATTGATGTAAATACCAGAGAAATTTTGGTGGATTGTTTTTTTGTTTTTGTTTTTTGGCTTGTGAAATCCACTGTATTACAGTCCACTTTCACTGTAGACCCTCATATAGTACAACTGAAGTGGTGTTTGCATGATGCACTAAAGTACACACTAGCCAAATACTTTTTAGCTCACTATACTGAGTAATCAGTTAAAGTAGTGTGTTATGCAGATTTACAGATTGGTTATATGACTAAAACTCCCTGTTTACTACCCTGTAATCCCTTAATTTGAACTAATCAAAGATAAATGTATTGTCTGGAAATAGGCTTACATTGTATGCAAATAAAAATTCACTTCATTCCTGATAAGAGTTATAATGGAAAAGGAAAGCTGATTTCAAATGTGGATTAATTTATGCTAATCAGACTATAGCCTTAGGCTTTACAACTTTTAGTTCACTTGTTTTTGGGTCAAGAGCTGCATGTGGACTGATATGTATCGGTCATACTCCAAAAATTATTGGGTGGACTAATTTGTTTTGAGTTCATGTTCTTTAATTAAAATTTGCTATAATGAATATAATAATTTCCTAGTCACTAATTTAATAGGACTGTGCAATGCTTTAAAGTCTGCATCAAAAGGATGCATCTGCTATAACTACACACCTTAAAACTACTAAGGTTGAGAAACACTGATCCAGAGTTTCACAGCCCAGTATAGTATCCCTATTATTAAACAAAAATTGGCTTATCACAGCGGGAACCCTATCTGTGAATTTTTAATTTGGAGGCACTGTGCTTTTAGAAATGAATTTGGAGAGAAATAGCACGTTGGAAGTTACCACAGAGTACAGATAGTCCTCAACTTACAAATTTAGTGACCATTCAAAGTTACAACGACATTGAAAAAAGTAACTTACCGTAAATGCCGGCGTATAAGACGACTTCTGCGAGCGCTGAAATCGGCGCCAAAGACGGGGGTCATCTTATACGCCGAGTCGTCTTATACGCCGGAAATACTGGTAGTTTCCGGCGTATAAGACGACGTTCTAGGAATGCGGCCCGGCTATAAAGACGGGGGTCGTCTTATACGGCGGGTCGCCTTGTACGCCGGCATTTACGGTATGTTTTTCACGTGATCAAAATTCAGACACTTGGCCACTGGCTTATATTTCTGATGTTTGCAGTGTCCCAGGATCATGTGATCACCTTTTGTGATCTTCTGACAAGCAAAGTCAATGGGGAAGCCAGATTCACTTAACCACAGTGATTCCCTTAACAACTGTGGTAAGAAATCTTCCCATCTCTGGTAAGTCTGCCAGAGTCCAGCTGGTATAGCTAATGCCAAAAATATGAAGATCGTAGTTGTGCAAGTTTCCCACATTGATATAAAGATCGAATTTTCCATGTTGCAATTTGTGTTGTAACTTTTGCACTAAAAATCAATATAGAATCAGCTGTTGGACATCCTTTCAGCTTTGCTCCAATGCTATCAAACCATGGTATGACAGCTTCATACTGTTGTTGCTGATTATGATCATCATGGTCATTGCAGTCGCTACGATCACTACAGACTTTAAGTTTGCTTGCTGTTTCTTTAGTAATTTTGTAGTTTATGGGGTAGGAGTGCTAACTCTACGGTCAACCCTCCTCCCTTTATCTGGACTTGGGACTGGCTGGATTACCTCAAAATATCTACCACTTTATTTGGTAGATGATAGTTAAACAAATCATAACATAGTGGTTTATAGAATCCTGTTTATTTCAAAAGCACCATCAGATTATACATTGTCAAAGTTACGATTAACCAAAGAGAGAAAGAAAGCAAGAGAGAAGAAAAAAGAAAGAGGAGTCTTTCTCTTAAGGTATTTATACATTAAATTGCTATTGACAGAACTACCAATTTTTGAAATTAAAACAATGTTAAATTTATTATTAAAACAATCATAGCTTTCCTTGTGACTTCTTCATGAAATTTCAAAAATCTTGGTTAAACTAAACTCCCTCAGGAAGCATATCAAATCTTGATTTTCAGAAATAACAAATGTCAGTGGTGACAATTTGTTTTTCCATAGAAAATAAGATCAATTAATTGAAATGCTTAACTCTGTCATATACTTAAGCATTCGAAGTTCTTTGAGTTCAGTGGACTTTGAGTTCAGTGAACTTTGAGTTCAGTGGACTTCCAAGAATATCACTTTGACTGGACAGAAAATGCTTCTTCATTTGAAGTTACTTACTAGAGTGGAAATAAATTGAGCTGGGCTTTGCTTGTATAAATAAACAGATAATTAAAATCTAATTGACCACTTATTTTGAATTACAATGATATATATATTCATGTATTTAAAACATATATCATATGAACAAAATTAACACAATGTATCTTAATTAGTTTTCCAGTTTGTAACCAAAATTCTAAGACAAAAGTTAATGCCATTTATGTTATTTATCCTGATATAATGCAGTCATTACATTATTGACATTTCTTCTGTACCTGCCAAATCACTTTTTCAGATTCTTTGTTGAGGCAAAGAGATTACATTTATTAATTCCATATAGTTAGTGTTTTGAGATTTAAACTAAGAGTTGCATTTTATGGGTCTTTTCCTATCTCTATCATGCTTGCAACAGAAGGAAACAACTGAGGGCTTTTTTTCCTATGTCAGAGTGGCTGTAATTTGGATTCCTGTATTGAGAATGTGTACTAATCAATTGAATGAGGAGCAATATTAAAAGGAAGTCAGGAATTATGCAATATGATTTCTGCAGTTCTTTATTTTCTGCTACTTTGGTAAATGTGGATTTCTTATAGTTCTGTCTTAAAAAGAATTGCAGAATAATCCCCAGTAGGCAATGGAGATGTGTGCTTTTATCAAAGAGATGCATTATAACCTCTCTTCCAACTCTTTAAACCAAATTGTTTGTACTGTACATTATATATATATATATATAATAACAATTTTATTTACATACTGATATTCATTAAATTGTTTAAATTTGTATGTTCTTCCCTCTCCCCCCAGAGCTATTAAACTGAGAAATAGCATTGTTCCAAACATGCCCCTCCAGTATTTCAGGAATTCTAAATTATGAGTAATGAGAAATCCTCATTATGTCTGTGGGGCAAAAGTACCAGACAATGTTTTCAATGTTCAAAATGTATGTCCTTTCAAATTAACGCTAGAGTTAAATAGTAACAATCTTAAATCTCTTACACAGTATGTTGATTATTTTTCCGGCTTTATTAAGCTTCTTTAAGCTTTCCCAATATTTTTGAGCTAAATCTGATATATTATTATAGTTTCAATCCACATTTGACTTGAGATCAAATATTTTTGTTAGATTAAATTTCAAATCGACTATGAACTACTTTTGATTTTGATTTGTTATAGTTGGTAATCAAATCCAATTTGCTGTGACCAAGAGTCATCCTTTTTTCATTCCTATTTATGTTGCTGTTGTTCTCCATTGGCATATCCTCAGAGACTTCAGGGAATCTAGGAACTTTGCCCTTTATCTCATAATTTACAGTTTTAGTGGGATTGTTAATGAATTCTAATTTGTTGTATCCATGAGTTACTGGTTTGTCATCCTTATATAGTTTGCTTGCATTTTCAATTGGTTGAGTATAAAGGAACTTCTTGTTATCATTTGTTCCCACATTCTCAGGAAGATTTCCATTTCCTATGTTCTCAACTAATATCGGTGAAGATACTGATAGCAAAGATGTCTTAAGCTTCAATAAATTAGAAGCATCACCAAGTGGATACTTTAATTTATCTAATATGCTGCAGTTAGAGTCTGGCAACTCCCTGGGCTGGTATCTCAAGTCATTATGTCCCAGTAAACCTGAAGTGTTTTTTCTTGTTTCACCTGGAGTTAATTCCTTCTTTTCACAGAATACATTGGAAATTGATTGGTTATGATATGGTGATTTCTTGATGGTCACGACGCTGGAATTTGAAAGGGTGCTTGGTGGACTGATGGCTTCATACTCATTCCGTTGAAGGTGTTTTAAAATGGGCTCAGATTTCTGCATGATCTTGTAAGGAGAAGGTGTGGAATTTTCTGCAATGGGGATTCCAAGATGATTCACTGATCTAGATTCGGCATATATACATCGGAACTCTCTGTCAAAATCATCAACAATTTTTCCTTTGAAGTGCATCACTAAACAGGTATGTACCTGGCTGCAGAGCCATGTAAAACTGAAATGAAAAGAATTCAGGAACAACATGAAACATGGATATATCATTAAATTGTGCACATTTAAAATACTGAAAATTCATTGGACAATAATATTCATTTACAACATTAGTATTATTTTAAGTATGTTTATCAGAACATCTTTAGCACTACTGCTGCAATTCAACAGTGTACCATCGTTACTGTTTTAAAGCATTGAGAAAATAATAAGTGGAACAATTTGATGATCAAAATCTTAGATTATTGTATATGTATGTTTATATTATGTTAGGCAACAAATGAAGGTAACACCTGAGCATGCAAACAAGTTATTATGGTTAAATTGTTAGAGGTAATCATTTAAATGACAAACTCATAAGAATAATAAGGAATTGCTTGCAAGCTAATTATAGATTTCATATTTATGGCTCAAGAGGAGGAGATATGTAGCCACACAGTGTGACTGACGCTCATTTAGACAAGACTTACAAAATAACTCAATTCTTGAGCATTTAAAAATGGTACAGAAAAATAATTTTATTAATCACAGAAAAATATAATCCTTGGTGGCAGATTTTTAATCAAATTATCAGTGATATCTAATCTTAAAATCCCTTGAAAACAGCACATCTGACTATCAACTTCCTACTGGAATCTTTTTAAGGTATTATTTTGAGATGAAATATTGCATATACCAAGATACTTTGAGATGACCTAATATGGTAACATGCTATGGAGTTGGCAAGCTTTCTGTAAGTAAAGAGGGTTGGCAAAGGTAAAGCTGCTATTAAATATTTGTGTTGGTGAGTCAAAAGTAGATTGGGTGGAAGAAAGACAGTGTGTGGGGAAAAATGCATGTGCAGCAAACTGCCGTACTTTCCCCCCCACAAACCTCATAACCTTTTGATACCCTTTGTCCTAATGAAGCAGCCAGAAGGTCATACCCTTTTGACTTAATGCCTCACCTACCTAAACAAATAATATGCTTAAGTTCCTTCTCCTATCTTTTCCTGCCTTTGTTAGTTCCTTCTTGTTAGTTCCTTCTCCTGTTTGCTCTTTACCTGATCTTTGACTATGTAATGTATTACCAGAAAATAGTTGCTTACATGAAGACATTTTCCAATGAAGAAAGCTTTGTCAGCATTTAATGGTAAAGCCTATGTATGTAACAAGTATATAAGAAGCAATAAACTCAGAGTTTGTCAAGCTATGTCCTGCAGCTTCAAACCTCTGCTCAAGACATGCCTGTGTCTTTTTCTTAGCGTCTTACAACAGTGTGCATTATCAATCAAGGAAGTAGATTTAGTTGCAATTAAAGCAAAGAAAAATAATTTCCCTTCAAAATACAGCCGAAGGTTTGGCAACTAAGGCAAAAATAACTGCAGGTTAACTAGTATAATACGTAAAATGAATATTGTGCTGTTGTGCTGTATCATTTCTTGCAGAGGAGGGATACTTGAAAGTAAATGTACTGACAGGATGAGGTGACACTCTGCCAGGCAGTGTTGGTTCATGATCTGGGGATTCTCCTGGAACGGGGCAGTTGGACAAGGAGAGCTTTCAAACAAATATGTCTAGTGTGCCATTCTGAGGTGAGGAGGCACTGCTCATGATTACTTGAATCCTAGTCATCTTGTAGTTGGACTATTGCAACACACTATATATGGGGCTGGCCTTAAAGAGCTTTTGGAAGCTTCAGCTGGTCCAAACTGCAGTGCCACATATAGCATTGGGTGCATCATAGTACACCAATCTATCACTGCTGCTATGTGAGCTGCACTGACTCCTGATAGGCTTCTATATATAATTAAAAATGCTGGTTGTTACTTTTAAACTTGTACATGACATGGTGCTGGGTTACTTATAGAACAACTTGTGATTATTTCCCCTGTCCCATCAGATCTGGAAGAGGAGAAAGGCTCCAGATCCTATCCGTGAAGCAGTGCTTTAGGAAGCATGGCTGCTTTGTCATACTCTCTCCAAGAGATACACACAGCCCCAAATCTGTTGGTTTTCCAAAGGCTATGAAGATTTCTCATCAGGTACTGGGGCCCAGTTGTTAATAAAACTCTGGCATGCAGATACGTGACATGCCGGCAATGAGCTTTTTATAGGGACCTTAACTTGATTTTTTAAAAATTGATTTGGACTATGTACTATGCTTTTACTTTTGTTGACTGCCCAGGAGCCCATTCATTAAATGAATAGCCCTGTAAATGATTACCAGGGTTGCTTCTCCTTGGAGGTATTTGCCTATTTTACCAGATGAGATAGGGTGGGCATGTCCCAGATCCCATTCCTTAAATGTCATCTGGTAGGACCTTGGAGACACATATTCTCCATGGCTACCCCAGTCCTTTTGAAATGCCTCCCCCATGAAATTTGGAGGGCCCCCATTCTCTTAGCCTGGGATGCTATGGCACTTTTGCAGGGTTTGGGTGTGTGTGTGTTTTTTTTTTTTTTTTTGTTATGGAATGTTGCTATGAGCCATCTAGGATTATCATCTATAAGATAGTCAGCCATATAATTTTAAAAATATATGTATGGATATTAAATAAACAAACATATACAATAAGTTGATTTGAGTCAACCAAGATGTATTTTTATGTGAAAGTTTGGGTCGCTGTGTCTTTTTATGTATTTACTTGGAGATCCTGAGACACTTAACCTAGTGTGTTGCACAGGCTTGTTTTGAAGATAGGAAGTTGCGTACAGGTAGTCCTCACAACAACCATTTCTTCAGTGACTGCTTGAATTTGTGATGATCCTGAATGAACAGTATTTATAACTCCTTAATGCCATTGCCGCACTCCTGCAGTCACATGATCGGGAGTCTTGGAGTCTTGGCAGCCCACCTTTATTTATCACAGGGTACTTTTCAACTCTAGCCACACATCTGTCACTCCTCACCATCTCTGCTTTTTGACTGTCCTGCACTCCATTGCCTCTGCCACCCCAGCAGATTTTCACTTCTTCCTCCTACTGCTGACGAAGCATGCCCAGCCTGACTCTTTGTGAGGCAGCAGCTGGTCACAGACGGCCTTCTTGAGGCCTCCAGGAAGGTCACATATGGCTTCAGGAAGCCAGCAGCTGTCTCACAAAGGGCCAGACCAGGCGCACCTCATCAGTACTGGGAGGAACAGGATAGCCAAGGTCAGCTGAAGGTAGCAAGAACAATGGAGTGCACGGTGTTATGGGTGAAGGCAGGGTGCAGGGCAGCCAAAAGAACAGAGAGGGAAGAAGATAGGCAGATAGGGTGGAGTTGAAGGGAAGGTGAGCATAACAGGGCAGGAGAAGCTTGATGTCCTGGCCTAACAAAGACAATCAGGAGTACTGATTATGCAGTGCAGTCATGTGATATTTTACCTAGTAATTGTTTACTTAGCGATAAACATTCCAGTCCCAATTGGGGCCATTAAGCAAGGACTATCTATATGCTGCTCTCAGTTCCTTGGAGCTAGTACAAATAAACATGTAATATAATAATTAGGGGGATCAAAATTCCCTGGAATTTATTTCACTTTAAGGATATATATGACTAGAAAATTATGAAAATTCAGAATCTCTGAAAATTATTAGACTATGTGGCTGGGGTAGAGTTAGAATGTGTTTTTAAAATTGGATTCCTAAACTGTTAAAGGAGACACATTTTTAAAAAATTGTTTAAAAGAACTGAACTTGTTTTGTATACGTTTTGATATCATTTTTTGTACATTTAGAAATAGCATATTCACCATTTGCAAATTTCATTTCCTTCCAACTGAAATGGAAGACACACAGTTTTGAGAAGCACTAGAACAGCCTTAGACACCTGACCCATAAGAAGGATACAAAGCACTATAATTTTAAATAAATGTAATTTAAATAATCTAAATAATTTGCTGCATTCGTTTAATCTGGTGTCTGAAAGTCATGGTTGAAAAAATCAAGTTGCTAGCTGCAACAGTGCAATAAAAACTCTGGCGTCTTGGCTTTTTTTTTTTTTAACCGTACCCTGCAATCACTCTGAATTAGGACATATTAGTCCCAGAAATCTCTAGACAAACAAATGCCTTTTGCAAATAACATCATTCTGAAGTATACTTGTAATGTCTCACCTGTAAGTCCCTGCAAGTACTTGTTCACAGTCTATCAATACAAATTTCTCAAAGGCTTGTCCTGTAAGTTTCTTGCCAGCTTTACTATAGTATGTATCTCCACTTACAGATCGTATGCGCATATTCTAAAATAATAAGAAAAGCATAAGAAAGATTAAAAAAAATACTGCTGACTTTCTATGCAGAGCTTATATATACTGTAACCCTATGAGTGAATGCGAATCTTGGAATTAATGGCTGTGAAACATACCAAAATCAGTACTATGTTAATGTTAAAAAAACATTTTTGTAAAATTCCGTACTGATGCTTAAAACTCTATCAGTTTTAACCTGTTTTATAATTTCTTCTCAGAAATCTCTTGTAAATTTCAATGGATATAAAATTGCAGTCTAAATTAAGTATATCAACTATAATGACTGCAAATGACATGACCAGCGATTTGCCTTTGTGTTTTATTAGTTAATGTATTGGGAGCAGTGGACATAATTTGGAATTTTGCAAGTTTGATATGGTCTCTCTCATAAAATGGTTGTTAAGATTGATGCAGCTAATCACAAAATGTCCATCTATCAGAAGGAAAACTGAGTGCCACCTGATTTTATTTCCTAAGAAAGTTGAGGGGGCTGAGGAGACCCCTAGATATGTTGTTGGAAATTTAGGTTATACTCAAGATGGTACTTCACTTTGCAGCATGTGTGGTTCCCCATTATTTTTAATTAAAAGAATCAGAAAAATGAAATTAGATAGCATAGGGGACTTGGAAAGCACTAAGTAATATGTGGGTGGGCACATAGTAGACTGCTCAGTCTCTGATGGTGAAAAATTAGAAACCGGTATCATTTCAGTAATTTCCAACCCTTATTTCAATATTTGAAAGCTGTAGTTGCTCTAGAAGAATGGGAAATTACTATACATTTACTGATAACAGACAAAATGACAGTAAGTTCCTTATGGTGGGGGTTGGAGTGATGGAATAAGATAACTCTTGCAGAATAGAGTACAGGTAGTCCTTGAATTACAACCATAATTGAGCCCAAAATTTATGTTGCTAAGTGAGAAAATTGTTAAATGAGTTTTGCCCCATTTTTATGATCTTTCTTGTCACAGTTGTTAACTGAATCATTGCAGTTAAATTAATAAAACAGTTGTTAAGTGAATCTGGCTTCCCCATTGACTTTGCTTATCAGAAGGTTGCAAAAGTTGATCACATAACCCTATGTGCACTGCAACTGTCACAAATATGAGTCAGTTGCCAAATGTCTGAACTTTCATCATGTGACCATGGGGATGCTGCAATGGTCATAAGTGTGAAAAATCGTCATAGGTCACTTTTTGCAGTGCCATGGTAATTTGGAACGGTCACTAAATGAACTGTTGTAAGTCAAGGACATCCTGTAGTTAGTAGTTAGGCTTATACTCACATTGAAAATGCCTTAGTTAGCCAAGAGGAAGATATCCCTGAATTAAACATAACTCTTGCTCAACCAAAAACAGGCTGAACAAATATGCGGTATAAATCCTAATCCGAAGTAACGCTTCGCTTCCCACCCTAGGTCTATGCTCCAGAAAAACAATCCCAGATATTCCTTTTCCCCTGCAAACACATGTATGAGAGCTCTCTCTCTCTGTGTGTGTGTGTGTGTAAAACAACCATACTTGATTAAAATTGTTTGTAAAATGCGGTCCCCTAATAACAAAATTAATTGATCTTCCGTTTGCATATGCCAATCATTTTCACTCTCAGATATAAATAATGTTAATGCACACACATTCTCTTGCCTTTTTAAACAGAAACAGCAAACAACAGCAACTAGAGTAGAAAAGGTAAATGGAAGTGACAGCTATTTTGACTGTTTTAACACACACACACACACACACACATACAACATACATCTGTAGATCCTCCTGGTCTGATTGAATACGGTCTCGTGTCCAGGGCATCTTTCTCTCAATTTTGTTGCGCATCAGAAGTAAACTTCACTCCATTTGTAACATTTAAAGGTAGTAAGCCTGGATTTAAGCAAATGTGACTCTGTGCTATCTTTAATTTTGCCTCAGCCGATCATTTAAAATAATTGGATGAAAGCAATGTACTTTTCATCTCCTTTATACTGAAGACAAGGCTAAAAGTACAGATATCTGTGATTGTTGACTGCTTCCCTTCAATAAATAAGGTTCATATATTAACTTCAGGCACTGTTTTGCTCTGGGCTTTTGTTTGTTCAACGTGTATATGAAAGGCAAAGGTTGGGCATATGATATCTATCAGCACATAATTTTTTGAAAGGAGATATTTAAAATTTTTACTTGCACCATCCAATTGCACCTTATGCTTCAGCTATGTTGTTTCACATGGAAAATGGATTATAATTCAACAATCATTCAATAAAGGTGTATTACTGATGTCATACCACATAACAGAAAAGGGGTAAATATGCTTCAGAAAGCATCCTGGAACTGATGTTTGGTAAGAGAATCATTACAGATCGCCAGACAATCAATAATTATCAAGAAACCTAGGAAGAAAGGAAGACCTTATACTGTTATTGTTCTTGTTTTTGTTGTTGTTGCCCTTGGATTTCAATTATTGGCTTTAGATGAACAAACCAACCCATGTTCATCTGAGTGATAATGAAAATGATTGAAATAAAAGATATTTAAAAATGTCTTTTTTTTCACTTTCATGTTCCATTACATCATATTTTAATATTTACATTAAGTAAAAGAAAAATGAAAACTGATTGAAAACATACCAAAAGGTCATCCATGATGACCTCCATTTTACTGCACATTTCTGTAAACTCCTTCAAGTTTTTTTCATCCAGGATCAGATAAACAGGAACACGACGTTTGTTTGAAGCTTCTATCAGATCACTGAGTATTTCCATATCTGTGAATTGATCCATCACAATTGCAATCACCTGCACAATTTTTGGTAGGTTGCGGTAAAATGGAGAGTAGAACAGAAGACATTGTCAAAAGATGATCAGTGGATTTGACCTATTAAATAACCCATATACCCATATAAGACCCTTTTTAAGTGATTCAAGCTGCAATTTTTTAACCTTTCATCAAGGATTCTCTGAGTAAATACGCCTAGAATTGCACTATTGGTCTGTTTTAATAAAACAAGAAGGGCAAAAACAGTTAGCACCTAAAGTGAGAAGGTCAGTTTTGAAACTCTGCTTCATAATGCTTCCTCACTAGTTATTATTTCTGAATCTTTTTCCTTTCTTTACTCTGTTTTTATGGAGAACCCAGAGAAAATTATGGGCACATGATTGCATTCCAGAGTTGCTGAGCTTTACAATATACACCTTTTCCATCACAGAATTGTGAGAAGCTATAATCTAGTGACACTTCCCCCTGTATATGCCTTATGTAAGATACTTTGCATGTTACAGACTGGAAGATTGGTTCCAGAATTGCTTTCCGTATCTATTAACATTTTATAATGGTGATGTTCCAGGTGACAGAATTCCAGGAAGGAACCAAGTAATTAGTCTCTATTATAAATCTTGATTACTGAGAAGTGTATGTATAAATTGGGAGTGCACCTAATTCTTCTACTCTTTTTACATTTTCCTACTGCTTTCTCTTCTGACAACAGAACGTTTCCATGAAGAATTGATGGAAAACTTGGCTACAAATACAGCAGAATGGGGTGGCAACATTTTGAAGATATTACAGTGATGTAAATATTGTGAAGATGGGGAAGCAGTTGCCTTGGGGCCCAGAGGCCCACTGTGTTGCCCCTTGCCTTCCACAGACTTAATTAGATAGTCAGGAATGCAAAGGAAGGAGAGGAAAGGAAATAGATATACCATGTCTGAGTTGCAAAAATCCAGATGCCCACTAGCAAATTCTCGATTTTGAGAGTCTTGCCTTGGGGTCCAGAGACCCTAACCCTTACATCTCATTTTAAATGTTTGCCTATGTTGAAAAAAATCTTATCAACTAAGAAAACATCTCAGAGGACAAAGGGTAGGTTAACTTTGTCCTACGATGTATTTGTTTTCTATTTGCAAGGAACTTCAAATGTAGATGGAGCACTCAGAAGTGGCACCTTTTTTGCAATTTAAAATGATGTACAGTTAACCACTCCAAACACACTAGCCACATAGAACTACTTTTAAGTACTTTTCAAAGAATAATTTAGGCAATTCTTTGACTCTTGGGCTTCTAATACGGCATGACTGAACACCATTGTAGCCCATAATATCTTATTTTTAATTAAGTCAGTATTCTATAAAACAGAGTGCCCATCTCAAATATTGTTCTTACGTTAAAACGTGTGTCTGTGTTTCACACAATGTTTCAGATGGGCACACTGTTTTATAGAATACTGACTTAATTAAAACAATTTCCAAAAACCCATAGGTAGGTCAAGAAACTTAAGCAATCTCAAATAGGCTATTATGGGCTAGTGTGTTTGGAGTGGTTAACTGTACATTTTAAATTGCAAAAATTTAAATTGCCACTTCTGAGTGCTCCATCTACATTTGAAGTTCCTTGCAAATAGAAAACAAATACATCATAGGACAAAGTTAACCTACCCTTTGTCCTCTGAGATGTTTTCTTAGTTGATAAGATTTTTTTCAACTTAGGCAAACATTTAAAATGAAATGTAAGGGTTAGGGTCTCTGGACCCCAAGGCAAGACTCTCAAAATCGAGAATTTGCTAGTGGGCATCTGGATTTTTGCAACTCAGACATGATATATCTATTTCCTTTCCTCTCTTTCCTTTGCATTTCTGACTATCTAATTAAAAGTCTG